CTGTACCGATACTTGGCGAATTTTAAAATTCATTCAATTTGTATAATCGCGGAGTCAATTAAAATTCATCAAAGCGATGCTCCTGCCTCGACTTTTACCGTCCGAGACCTGAAAAACTGTGAAATTTGAATGATTTTTTTTTCTTCTATTCTAAAAACGGAGCTCAAATGAAATAAAAATCCTTGTGAATTGAAATAGCTCTGAAGGTATAACTCTTCAAATTTTTGTGGTCATATAAAAATTTCAATCATTGGACATCGCTCTTAACTATAATAAAGTATTTAACTCAATTTTCAAGTAGAACAGCTGTAAAATGTAAAAAACTTCTTTGCGACTTTTTTCTCAATGAAACTTGGGTAAAATTCAAACAAAAAAATCTTTTTATTTCATCCATAAAAAGATTACCATTCCATTATATAAATTCAATTACATAAAAGATTACAATTCAATTACACATATATAATCAACTATATAAGATACATTCGCGCGATTTGTTCTAAATCTTTCTAATATAGCTTTACTAGTTACCTTCTTCTTCCAAACATAAAACCCAAGCCTTACATATGTTGTATAATTCTATATTTAAAAATGTGTCGTTTATAATATTTATACAACAAACGTCGGGTAACTTGGTTAATGATTGTAGGCTCTCCACGGCCTGATTATGGCAAAAATTGCGCAAAAGTATTTCTACCAGGTGGCCGAAGCAGGCCAGCTGCTGCTCCCGCCACTCATCCACGCTCCTCCATGTTTCAGAAAATCGGGAGTAGTACTCGAAGGGTACCATCTGTCTGCGTCTCTGCCGCTGCTGCCCTGGCTCCAGCTGAATTATATCCCAGAGTCGGACTTCCTGGAACAGCCTGGTCCTTTGGGCCCACACGACGAACGGATCGAGCTCCGGCAGCGAGCGCAACTCACGGATCTCGTTCTCGTAGCCTCGGTTTTCAAACGTTCCACTCCGGTGGAGGAACTCGAGCATGGCCCAGGCGTCTTCATAGGCCGGCGCGCAATTCCTCATTATAAGCATGTCCTGTATCCACATGAGATCGGCCGCCGCCTTCAGTCTCGTGCCGACGAAGCAGGGCCCGATGTCGCGATACTCGCTCGGGTAGCGAAAGTCGTCCAGATGAATGTCTTCGAGAAAATTTAGTAGCAGAGAGCACAAATACGGCATCAAATTTTTAACTGCTAGCTGCAGCGGTGTCATGCCGTCGCCGTCTTTCTCGTTGACATAAACAATTTTACGAAGCTTGCTACAATTGTTTAAGAAAAATGTCGCCAGCTCGTTATCGATGGGCTTGGCGCAGATTAGATGCATGGGCGTCGAGCCCGCCTCGTTGGCCGCGTTCGGATCGGCTCCCCTCGCCAGCAGCAGCTCGATCGTGGGCCTGTGATCTTGTAGAATGGCCAAGTGCAGGGCGGTGTTGCCGGCCCTGTCGCGCGCGTCCACGCGCAGCTTCTGGCCCCGGGAGTCGGACAATTTGAAGAATTGCGCCAGACTCGCGCCCAAGTAATTACGACTCACGATGTGCAGAGGGGTCGTACCCTCGTGGTTGGCGAGGTCCGGATTGGCGCCGCACAGCAGCAGCAGCTCGGCCATCCGCCAGACGCCGTTGGCCAGGGCGTGATGAAGCGCCGTGTTGCCCTCCTCGTCACGTGCGTCGACCCGGAGCTCCATGCGCCCGGGAGTCAACGGTCCGAACTTGAACGTCTTCAGGATCATCGTCAGCGCGTAGAGGCCCAACGAGTTGCGGCTCGCAATGAGCAGCGGCGTCAGACCCTCGTGGTTGACGGCGTTCGGATTGGCCTCGTGTTCCAGCAGCAGCTTGGTCGCCTCTCTGCTCTGCGCCTGGGCGGCGAGGTGTAGCGGCGTGTCGCCGGTCTGCAGCCAGCGTAGGTCGACGATGGCACCGTGCTCGAGGAACTTGGCCACGGCCTCGTGGCAGCCCGTCATGCAGGCCACGTGGAAGTGACTGAGGCCGGTCTCGTCGTCTCTGTAGTTCACCTCCCACCTGTCGTAGATCTTGAAGAGCTTCGGGGCCAGCACGCGCCGCTCATAATTCCACAATCTTTCCTCGTACCAGTGCTGGAGGTTCTTCTTGGCCGCGTGTAGTATTGCTGTTTTTCGGAAGGGCGATGCTTCGGCCTCACTGTTGCGGCTATCTCTGTAGCCACTTGTAATCAGAAAGTCAACGAATGTGTCGTGCTGGCCGTTGGCCAATGAAACGACGAGCAGCTGCTCGATCTGATCGAGATTAAAAATCGTCCAAATGGGGGGTAGGATATCTAACCAATCGCCAAAGTGTGGACTAAGCGAGCCGAGAAACTTTTTCTTCAATTTTGACTTTTTCCAGTCCAGATTGTCTCTCAAGATTTTCAAAAGTTCCAATGCGCTCGCGCGCGCTTGGAGAAAACTGGCCCTGGACATGTTACCGCGTTTTTTTTAGGGAGGGGGACACTCGCACATACGGAATACACGACTCCTTGATCATTTATTTCTTTGCCGCGAATTATCAATTTTTTTTTCTTGCGCTCGACGCGATGCGACCGACTTGGACTTGGGCGATATTGTTGACGCTAGCGAACGAGAACGTGTACTACCGAGTACGAGCTCGTTACGAACGAGAGAGCACCGATCTTGTGCCTCTGTCTATATTTACACGAGAGATGTAAGCGACATATGGAAATTCAGATTCTAATAGTAAACAAATGATCCAATTTAATGTTCGATCTGGCGACACTCTATTGTTATTGACTGAATGATTGCGAAGGAATGAGGTCCATTTACATTGATCTATAGAGTCGATAGGCTTTAAAATTAAAAATTATTCGAAAAATACGTCACTCAATTTTCCGCGCCTCAACCCTGATAGAAAACTCATTCTTCCAATATTCGGAAACGAACTAATATCAGAACGTTTTTTATTTCTTATATAGCCGATTATACAGCCAAAAATGTTAAGGGGACCGACCTGTGTTAAAAGCTTAAATTCAAAAAATAGCTATATAAATCGAAATAGTGGAAATTTTTTTTTTGTGATCGTGTATGTTTATTAGACACCTGATTGACAAAAAAAAACTTCTATCCAAGCTCTGAAATGCCAATTACGCTTATTTTTTCATAATACTAAATATTATAATAGAATTCACTTGCCACGCGATTCTGACGTGAGCTTTTCATCAATATTGATCTATGGGGTCTCAAAATCTTCAGAACAGTACCCTCATCCACTTAAGCGGAGCAAAATTTGAAAAAAAAGTTTGTTTTCCTTCCAAGACCTTTAATATGGCTTCTAGTGTTGATAAAATACTAATTTTCTCAAAAATTGGCACATTTTGACGTGTATATAAAGTTGTACGCAATTTTTCAAAATTCTGCTCCGCTTAGGTGGACGAGAGTACTTTTCTGAAGATTTTGAGACCCCATAGATCAATATTGATAAAAAACTCTTTTCAAGATCATGCGGCAAGTGATTTATAACATAATATTTCGTCTTAAGAAAAAATTGATGTAATTGGTATTTCAGAGCTTGGGTAGAAGTTGTTTTTGGTCAATCTGGTGTAGAATGAAAAAAGTATATATATTACAGGATAATTTTAGAAAAAAATAATTTCTCTCACATCTACTCTTGCCTCGCACAAAGGCATGTTATAAGATCTTCGTTTGGCTGATCTATTATCCACACATTCAGGCGATTCTTTTTTAATCAAACAATCTTCCTTAATACTTCGAGTTTTAATATCTTCCCTGGATGGACGATCTTTTTTTTGAGAGTTCTGAAAGAAATTCAAAATTGAAAAGAGTAAATATGGCCGATTCTCTGTGAAATCGAATGGCCAAAAAATTTTTTTTTCTGCAAATATGAAAAACTTGCTGTTTCCGATGTCAGAAATGTCCCCAAATTTTATTAGAATTTTTGGGACCATCTATCACTCTTTTTCAGGGGCCCGAAGTTGGCCATTTTAGGGTTTTTTTGAAATTCATGAAAAATCACAAATATTCAAATAATTCCTGGATCAGGGTAGAATGATTCAAAAGTAAAAGTGCCCAGCAACTTTTTTGTTGGAAATTGTCCAAATTTTCAGAAAAAAAATATGCCAAAGTGATTGGAGCCACCCAAAGAGAGCATAGTGGGAAAACATTAAAAAAAAAACATAAAACAAGAAATCTACTCGAGTTCGAACCGGACTTTCATTTCCTAAACTATGTAAAAAGCTTCCCAAAGATGTCAACTAATGCCTGATAAAGTTTTGTAATGGGTCTTAAAGTTTAACGCAATGTAGACAACAATGTGTGGCGAAAAACATGCAAAAAAGGCCTGAAAATGGCTGTTTTTGGTGATTTTAGGCATTTTGGGCCTATTTTTGACCTTTTTTGCATGTTTTTCGCCACACATTGTTGTCTACATTGCGTTAAACTTTAAGACCCATTACAAAACTTTATCAGGCAGTAGTTGACATCTTTGGGAAGCTTTTTACATAGTTTAGGAAATGAAAGTCCGGTTCGAACTCGATTAGATTTCATCATTTATGTCCCTTTGGCAGTTTTTTTGCTTTACACTTACCTAGATTGTTCCAATCACTTTGGCATATTTTTTTTCTGAAAATTTGGACAATTTCCAACAAAAAAGTTGCTGGGCACTTTTACTTTTGAATCATTCTACCCTAATCCAGGAATTATTTGAATATTTGTGATTTTTCATGAATTTCAAAAAAACCCTAAAATGGCCAACTTCGGGCCCCTGAAAAAGAGTGATAGATGGTCCCAAAAATTCTAATAAAATTTGGGGACATTTCTGACATCGGAAACAGCAAGTTTTTCATATTTGCAGAAAAAAAAAATTTTTGGCCATTCGATTTCACAGAGAATCGGCTATATATTAAAGGATAACTTTAGAAAAAAATAATTTCTCTCACCTCTGCTCTTGCCTCGGGCAAAGGCATGTTATAAGATCTTCGTTTTGATGTACTATTTACGAATTTAGGCGATTTTTTCTCAATCAAACATCTTCTTCAATACTTGGAGTTTTGATATTTTCTAGCTCCTAAAATATAATAAAAATTAAATATTGAATGTAAACAATTTTACCGTAGTATATAGTGTAATTTAACTCACCGATGATATATCTCCGACATTTGAAATATAAGACAACAGCGATGAATTGATTTCTATTATGTCTCGTTGATATTTATTCATTTTTTCAAAAATAGATTCATATTTTAAGCATTTGGGGCAGCTTACATTAGTTTTCAGATTGGGTGACGAAGATTGTAGTATTTCATCAAGTATTTCTTTATTGGATAAGTTATCTTCTTTATTTTTTTTTTTATTATTTTTTTTCGGTATTGCTCGGTAAAACCTTGATTGAGATTGGTACATGGTGAGCTTTTCCTTTCCCTTTTTTTTCTTACATTTCTTCTTTCATACTCGGTAACTAAGGCATCTTTCTTGTCGATTAAAAATTGTTCATCGTCTGCAAAAATTCAAATAATTAAAAATTATCATTTTCTATTCAATTTCAAGAATCTGTCTAGTAAATGGCGACGACCTAGCCTAAATGTAACACAATCTCCCATGCGCGAAGAACAAAATGCGTTTGTAAAGATTGAATATGTAGTTGGTTAAGTTAAATATGCGCGAGCCTGTGCTTTGTGTACGCTTCGGCCGCCAGATTCTTTTTATTCACACCTCTCAACACAGCTTTTTTTTAATTATCTTCATGAAAAATAAAGCGCTTACCTGAAATTTCAAGAATTTGACCCACAAAAATTTCAGCTTTAGGATCATCATCCTCTGGCCACATGAAACGAATTTTCATCCCTTTTTTTACCACAGGATTATCGTCTTCGACGATTATCGAACTTTTATATATTAAGCACCATGACACCGGGTTTTCGATCGCGATTGGGGTACTGCATGTCCAATTTTTATTAATAATAAAAATTCTTATTGAACGGTATCGGAGAGCAGATCGAAAACAAATATTGGTTATACAGTAAGTATATCACCGATCTTGACGCGCTTTTGGTATGTTACAGTACATGGTAAAAAGGTCCCAAAAAAAAATTTTTAGACCCCCTCGCCCCTCCTACCGCCCACTTCCGGTATAAACGTCCATTTTCGATCTATATTTTTTCTGAGGACATGAAGCAATTAAAAAATCTGAAAAAATTCATAAAAATACTTTTCGATAATTCAAACAAACTTGAATTTTTACAGATTTTTTGAGTGCTTCAAGCCTTCAGATAAAATCATTAGAAATTCAAAAAATCGAGATACGGCGATATGAGCCGATGTAGTACTCGGAAATTTTTTCAGTTTTTTATCGCATAATTGAAAAACATTACCTCAATTTTTTTCAGATTTTTTCAGATTACCTAACGCACCTTTTGAAGCCAAAAACCGCTTTTTTTAACGAAAATAATTTTTTTAGAGCGATACGGAGCCTCGAAAAATCTGAAAAAAATTTTTTCTTGTTTTTTTCATCAAAATATTATCTCAAATTTTTTCAGGACAAAGATTAATGCAAATTTCTGAAGACGGTTTCTGAAGACATTCAGAAACGATAAAACTATTTTGATGCTCTAGATTGAGCTAGGAGGCTTCAATCGGAATTCTGAAACTGTCAAAATTTATTACATTTTGTCAAGAAATTCAAAAAAAATTTTTCCAAATTTTTTCACCGAAAGCATCGGGTTCTAGGAACCTTTTTTTGTTAAAAATAGCATTTTTCGGCCCTAGAAGCTATCGCCTCCAATTAAAAAATCTGAAAAAATTTGAGATAATGTATTTTGATGAAAAAAACAAGAAAAAATTTTTTTCAGATTTTTCGAGGCTCCGTATCGCAAAAAGTGTACTTGAAGGTCTATTTTCTTCCTTTTCCGGTGAAAATGAAAATTATCGGAAAATCCGACTACACCATGAGAAAGCGGAGAAAATTTCCTATCAAATTCACATGTTTATTTATTTTTCCATTGTCATACGAGCGAGTTACAAGTTACAGTGAGCCGCGCAAGGCTGGAAATCGCGGCGAGCGGCCGAGCGCTAACTAAAACCTTCCGTATTTTCCTTAGTTTTCATCAAAAATACACTCTGAAAACTACCATACCCGATGTAAAAAGACCTCATCTTTCGATTGGAACAAAAAAAGCAAAAAAGTGGCGTTTTTCGAGATATTGAGCTCTAAATGTTTGATGACGATTTTCCGGGTGAAAATGGAAAATTTTTGAAAATCTAATGTCACCATCGAAAAGCTGAGGAAATTTACCATAGAATCTATTAGATAGTTATTTTTTTAGGTACGTTTTGATACTTTTACAGCGAGTTAGAAATTGACTGATTTGGCCAAAAAATGCCGTGCGGCAGAGCTCACGGAGGAAATTTACCCCATATAGGGCCCGCCCTGGGCCCCAGGTACATGGTAGTACATTTTCGTTGTGATATTCGTGTTCAGCGACCCCAAAAACCCCCGAGTGCAGAAATTAGACTCATTTTTACCGATATTTAGCAAAATACACATATTGACCAAGTCGTGAGTTCAAGATGCATCCCTGAAATGCGTTTATTTCACCCACAGGGTGCAAATTTTCATTTGTCCCTCATAAGTTTTGTTCACGAAATTCCTAGACGCTCTCCCGAATCGAATGCCGAAGATCGCATCTCAATCGGACTTACTGTTCAAAAGATCGGAGATTTGGCCGTTTTTAATGCTTTATTTCCTCGTCTATATCGAAACACATTGAGCAACAAGCTTATTGTAAAGAAAATTTTAAACTTATTGAATTATTCATATAATTAATTATTTATTTGTTTTACCATTAATTTGATGTATTATTAATTATAATTAATCATTTTAATATATTTTATCAAATAAAGTTATAGAAACTAGAAAAAATAAAATTTCCCGACTTCTCGTAATATTTCTCGACTTCTCGTATCATTTCTCGATACGTCGAGATTCTCGGCAGTCGAGACGAGAATTAAAATTTCTCGTCTCGTCTCGTCTTGAATGCATGTTCGCAGATTTTTTTTTTTTTTTTTTTAAGTAAAGGGTTTGAATTATCATCGTTGATGTGTTCGACTCTTGATTTAGATAAAATATATATAAAATCGTGAGTTTTCCAAGAGGATGCCAAAGTAGCATCTAGCTATCGCGATTTAAAAAAAAAAAACAATTTGTATCAACAGCATTGGTAAAATATACTTGTTGACGGGTTGATGCAAGGAGGTACCGCTTCCATTGCCGTATTATTTAATAAATAAAACTGGGGCGCGAAAATAAAACTAGCAATTTAAGGGTAAGGATTGCTTAGAATACAATACATGTTCGCAGACCCTTAGTTTTCAACTTTGAAACAGTTAAATCTCATTTATACCTTGACGTCAAGAAATTGTACGTAGATGCAAAATTGAAACTATTCATGCTATTGTTGTAAAATTTTACAAGCTATTATAAAATAGTTAGTTGGAATGTGTTATATACCAATAACCTAGCGTTAAGTATAGTAAAATTTAAATATAATAATTAAAATAAGACCGTCAAATTAACACGTATGACGCTTGATCTGGCGGGTAAAGAGGCATGTGTGTAAGACGAACACAGAGACAGGCAAGCGCTGTCGCATGAATGTGTGTGTAAATGTAAGCGGCCAACGCACACCGGCGCGCCAGGTCGATCCCACACGTATATGTATCCCACACGCGTATATATCCCGTGTATGTGTACTCGCGTGTGTGTGCAAGCCGAACACAAATTATCGGGGTCTTTGACCCCAGATAATTATTGGGCACATCTTTGTCTTGCGCAAAACAAGTCAACAAGTGACGAAATAGTTTGTAGATTTGCGACTTGTGGAAAAGTACCAAGACGTTCCCCCGCCAAAAGATGCATGATTAAATTAATAAATAATGAGCCCAAAAATTAGGCCTCTGGGCAGATCATTTCATACAGTCGAGTAAGGCGAAGCTCTGTGCGCGACCGATCTAAATATTGTAATAGCGACTCCGCGATATTTAACGGACTTGTAATCGAACACGCATAACGAGTAACTATGAATTATACAGCGCAAGCGTCAAAGTGACCAATTGTATTCGCGAACGGTAAAGCTCGAGTGAGTGCTTGCACCAGCCATATACCCGACGGACAAGTAGCAGGTTCGCCACCACCAGCCGAGCAGCCACGACCGTCAGTTCAATGCACCGCCTAGGCAGCCGCGACCGACGGCCAAGCAGCAGCAGCACAACATCCCAGCAGCAGCCACGACCGTAACGACCCGACGGCGCTTCCAGCCCTGCAGATCGACAAGAATCGGCCGAACTAATTTGTAAGCTTAGTTTAATAGTATTAAGTTCTTGTAATAAAGTCTTGTGTGTAAACCTCACTTGAGCGTGGTACACTTTATTTCATGTTCCCTCCCCACTCAGCCAACAACAGAAATAATATCTAATTAAAAATAATAAAGTTATTACCCAGTACCAATGGGTATATAACAAATATATTCAATTTTTAAATAGTAAAGTATTTCACTGTTATTAATTTCTTCGCTATTGTGAAAATCCCTAGGTTGTTTGGAGAATAGGAAACGTTTTGGGTTACTTAAAAAATAATAATCATCCCTCTATCAAGTGTATTCAACATTTAACACGTGCTAAATATTGAATTGAATAAGTTTGAATTATATGAAATCTTTCGCGATAAAATTAAAAATTATAATATAATACTAAAAAATTCAAAGAATATTCATTTGTATTGTTTTTACTCATTGAATGAAATATACTAATTTATTTAAATTAATTAATAATATTATAATTCATAAAACAATTATTTGGAAATATCATATTCTAACAAATTTTATTATAAAAATGTTCGGTAAGATAAGAAAATTTTGTTTTTCTATATCCTTTCAATAATATACGTAAGTTGATTAATTTATCATTTAATATACAAGAATAGTATTTAATCATAGTTATTAAGTTTAAATAAAATAATTTTGTCGATCTTAGTGAGGCAATTGTATATGTTTTTTTCTAACAATAAAATCGTTGAAAAAAACATATACAATTGGCTCACTAAGATCGACAAAATTATTTTATTCATACAAAAATCGTGAGCGAACTTAAATTATATACTTGGTTATTAAGTTTACTCTGCTTTAGGAACAATTGTTGCCAATAATAATAATAATAATAATAATAATAATAATAATAATAATAATNGGCTATGTTCGGATCAGCGCGTCTTCTCAGCAAAAATTCGACCATAACGATATTGCCGTATTCAACGGCACGGTGCAGGGGTGTGTTGCCCCACTTGTCCCGGGCGTCGATCTGTAACGGGTAACGTTCGCTGAGTTCGATTCGCAAACTTGCGTCGCCGAAGACTTTTTCGCAGATTAAGTGCAGCGGCGTCACTCCGTCGTCGTTGGCTATGTTCGGATCAGCGCGTCTTCTCAGCAAAAATTCGACCATAACGATATTGCCGTATTCAACGGCACGGTGCAGGGGTGTGTTGCCCCACTTGTCCCGGGCGTCGATCTGTAACGGGTAACGTTCGCTGAGTTCGATTCGCAAACTTGCGTCGCCGAAGACTTTTTCGCAGATTAAGTGCAGCGGCGTCACTCCGTCGTCGTTGGCTATGTTCGGATCAGCGCGTCTTCTCAGCAAAAATTCGACCATAACGATATTGCCGTATTCAACGGCACGGTGCAGGGGTGTGTTGCCCCACTTGTCCCGGGCGTCGATCTGTAACGGGTAACGTTCGCTGAGTTCGATTCGCAAACTTGCGTCGCCGAAGACTTTTTCGCAGATTAAGTGCAGCGGCGTCACTCCGTCGTCGTTGGCTATGTTCGGATCAGCGCGTCTTCTCAGCAAAAATTCGACCATAACGATATTGCCGTATTCAACGGCACGGTGCAGGGGTGTGTTGCCCCACTTGTCCCGGGCGTCGATCTGTAACGGGTAACGTTCGCTGAGTTCGATTCGCAAACTTGCGTCGCCGAAGACTTTTTCGCAGATTAAGTGCAGCGGCGTCACTCCGTCGTCGTTGGCTATGTTCGGATCAGCGCGTCTTCTCAGCAAAAATTCGACCATAACGATATTGCCGTATTCAACGGCACGGTGCAGGGGTGTGTTGCCCCACTTGTCCCGGGCGTCGATCTGTAACGGGTAACGTTCGCTGAGTTCGATTCGCAAACTTGCGTCGCCGAAGACTTTTTCGCAGATTAAGTGCAGCGGCGTCACTCCGTCGTCGTTGGCTATGTTCGGATCAGCGCGTCTTCTCAGCAAAAATTCGACCATAACGATATTGCCGTATTCAACGGCACGGTGCAGGGGTGTGTTGCCCCACTTGTCCCGGGCGTCGATCTGTAACGGGTAACGTTCGCTGAGTTCGATTCGCAAACTTGCGTCGCCGAAGACTTTTTCGCAGATTAAGTGCAGCGGCGTCACTCCGTCGTCGTTGGCTATGTTCGGATCAGCGCGTCTTCTCAGCAAAAATTCGACCATAACGATATTGCCGTATTCAACGGCACGGTGCAGGGGTGTGTTGCCCCACTTGTCCCGGGCGTCGATCTGTAACGGGTAACGTTCGCTGAGTTCGATTCGCAAACTTGCGTCGCCGAAGACTTTTTCGCAGATTAAGTGCAGCGGCGTCACTCCGTCGTCGTTGGCTATGTTCGGATCAGCGCGTCTTCTCAGCAAAAATTCGACCATAACGATATTGCCGTATTCAACGGCACGGTGCAGGGGTGTGTTGCCCCACTTGTCCCGGGCGTCGATCTGTAACGGGTAACGTTCGCTGAGTTCGATTCGCAAACTTGCGTCGCCGAAGACTTTTTCGCAGATTAAGTGCAGCGGCGTCACTCCGTCGTCGTTGGCTATGTTCGGATCAGCGCCTCTCCTCAGCAGTATAAGAGCCGCTTGGTGGTGCCTGCGCTCGATAGCCAAGAGCAACGATGTGTATCCCAGATTGTTTCGCGCGTCGAGCTGGACGTCCTCATACATTTTGTCGTTGATGGCCAAAAATGCCTCCATCGAGTGAAACGCGTCGACGCGTCTCGCGCAATAAATGTGCAGAGGTGTCATTCCTTCCGCGTCGGGCACATTCGGGTTGGCGCCGTTCCTCAGCAGCGATTCGGCCACCGCTTGAAGGTCGCGCTCCAGAGCCACATGCAACGGGGTCTTGCCCGACTTATCCCGGGCGTCTATCTGCACCTCTCGATTCAATTCGTCCTCGCTGGTCTCGACGAACAACTTCACCAGGTCTCGAGAATCGCGAAAGTCGCGCCGGCAGATGACGTGCAAAGGCGTCGATCCGTCCGCCTCGATGGCTAAGTTTGGATCGGCGCCACTTCTTAGCAACATTTTGGCAATATACGCGTGGCCGCTTTCCAGCGCCGAGTGTAGCGCGAAGCAATTGGGATCGTGACGTAAGCCGAGAAATTTTGACACGACCTCGGTGAATCCCCACTCGCAGGCAATTTGGAAGTGGGAGAGGCCCGATTCGTCGGTGTAATTCACGTCACACTTGTTGTAAATTTGAAATAATTGATCTTTGAGGAAGAGGCAATTGTGTCTGTGCGCAATATGCACCGGTGTAGTGCGAAGCAACGCACGTGGTGGCCCCCAGTCTTCTAAGAGCGGGTCTTCGTAACCGGTTCTGACAATAAAATTGATGAAGTTTTGTAGTTTATTCTCTCCATAGTGTGGCTTCGTCCAGTTCTCTATAACCTTCGAGATTAGCCAATCAATTTCATTGGGATGAAAGAAGTCCAGAAGATTTGGATATGGACGTCGGAAGAACCATTCGCCGAATAAATCAACGAGTTCACGAAGAAGTTCGAGTCGTTCGTTTTCGATATCCCAATCGCACTCACTTCGTAATCTCTTCAATTCTCTCCAGTTGATTTCTTTGATATGAGCCATGTCGCGCACAATGCACAATCACTTGTAATAATGTAAAATATTTTCACTTTTAATCACTTGCTGCGCGATGGGAGCGATCTTCGCTCGATGCTTGCGCTTCGGTGTCGTAACGAGTACTGGCTACTATAGACATACGTTATATTAGAATCTATATTAGAAAGTAAAAAACACACGGTCGAAGTTATTCACTAAAAATTTCAAGCATGTAGTGTGTTGCCACAGCTGCCCATCAGTGCTCTTAAAAGTGGTACCCACCGGAAGCGTGCGATTCAAAATTATGAAAATAAATTTATAAAAATTTTCATAAAATAATTTTTTTTTTCTCTATCAATCATGTCAAATGATATGAATAAGGTTTTCAATGTGAAATCATGATAATTGAATAATCCTGATTATGGACTATAAATTATTTTAAATTATCACGAAAATTCACGAAAACTATCAATTGAACCTTTACATTTTTTTTTTATAAATTAATCATTTCCATATATGAAATTAAAATATAATTAAATCTTTTATTTAAATGTTTGTAAATATTTTTTCAACGATTGATGCTGCCAATTGATCGCTGCGTTAATGGAATGAATCAAGATTTATACTGATTTTCGTAAATAAGTCTAACGCAATAATTTCAATTCTTTCTAGATTCAATTTCAACTGTGTTTATTACTGAAAATACTTTTTCCTCCAAGGCAGACATAGTATCACTGTAAGCATTATTTGTAAATTTCAAACACTGTTAATAGACGTTTGTACTGGAATGTTCGATAGAGCGGCCGTAACTGAGAGGCCGAGATCACGTGAGCTTACACATGGCCACACTTTCTCTCGTCGTGCACTCGTGCCACTGAGATGCGCCAAATATTCCCGATAATTGAGGCGATGACAAAAAGATCCCACGTACTCGGTATGGAAATGAATGTGGTTTCCTGGTGGGCCTCGGAGGTTCCTCCTAGTAGATGATGTACCTGGGCCTCGGTCCTCAGAAGTGGGCGATATCTCTATACATATATCGCCACAGTTGCGCGTTCGAGTTGCTATAGAGGGAGTGTAGAAAAGGTAGAGTTCACCGTTTGCTGAGATCGAGAGAAACAAGGTACAAAATAACTATATCGCTTGAGTTATGTTGATACGAGAATTTGTACACTTTATTTCCATTACGTAGCGGTTTTAAATCGGAGCTTACAATAGATGCTCACTCGAAGAAGGTCCGACTATATGAGTCGACTATTGAACTTGAATTGAGAGCCGCTGCTACTCGAAAGGCAAGTTGCAGCGAGTCGGCGGCGCGATTGTATAGAAATTCGTGGGCGTGAGCCCACACTCGGCAGTCGGCAGTCGTCAGTCAGCGCCAGGGATCCCAGTCTTGAAAGAATTCAAGATGGTGCTCGGGCGCGCAATTCAAATGATTCAAAAAGTTGAATATCAAACATGATTAGAAAAAATTGTCTGGTTAATTTTGAAAAATGTATTAAATGAAATAAAATGCATATTGGAATAGTAACCCGCGTAGCCGAGCGCATAAATGTTTATAAACAATAAATCTGCTACCTGAAGTGCCGTAACTCACGCAGCTCGTGACATATAAAAAAGCCGCTGCCAATTTATTGGCAAAGAGCTTCCTCATACAAAATAATATTAATAAAAGGCATCGGTTACTAACGTGAAAATGCGTATTTTTAAATTTTGATTCACTGTCTAGTGTCCTTACTACCAGTATATCACGACCATCAGGACCATCACTACATTTCTATGTTAAAAGGCCGAGAAAACAAAAACTCATACAGACATTTGTTGAGAATTGAATATAGTTTACAAATATATAAGGGTAAGGCTCAGAATTTTTTAAATAAACCTGCGGTCGTATGTCACCGATCTTGACGCGCTTTTGGTATGTTATATTACATGGTAAAAAAGACCCAAAACCAAAATTTTAGACCCCCTCCCCCCTCCTACCCCCCACTTCCGGTATAAACGTCCATTTTCGATCTATATTTTTTCTGAAGGCCTGAAGCAATTAAAAAATCTGAAAAAATTCACAAAAATACTTTTCAACAATCCAAACCTTGAATTTTTTCAGATTTTTTGAGTGCTTCAGGCCTTCAGAAAAAATCATTGAAAAATTTGAAAATTCATGCACGGCGCTACGATGCAATACAAAGCCCGATCTTTTTTTTCACTCATTTTTGGCATCAAAATACATAACCTCAAATTTTTTCAGATTTTTTCAGACACAACTCTGGCGGTTATAGCCGAAAAACGCCCTTTTTTACGAAAATAATTTCTTTAGAGCGATACGAAGCTTTAAAAAATCTGGAAAAATTTTTTTCTTGTTTTTCAGGTCAAAATACATAACCTTGAATTTTTTCAAATTTTTTAATTGAAGGCGATAGCATCTATGGCTGAAAAACGCTATTTTTATGAAAAACGGTTCCTGGAACCCAGAGGTTCCGGTGAAAAAATTTGAAAAAATTTTTTTCAAATTCTTTGTCAAATTTTAATAAATTTTGACCGTCGCAAAATTTCGATTGGAGCTTCCTAGCTCATTCTAGAGCATAACAAAGATTCGAGCGAAATTCTGAAGACGTTCATCACAATTACATTATTTTTCAAATTTCTTCAGAATTTCGCTCGAATCTTTGTTATGCTCTAGAATGAGCTAGGAAGCTCCAATCGAAATTTTGCGACGGTCAAAATTTATTAAAATTTGACAAAGAATTTGAAAAAAATTTTTTCAAATTTTTTCACCTAAAATTTTCTAAAATTTTGGTTTTGGGTCTTTTTTACCATGTAATATAACATACCAAAAGCGCGTCAAGATCGGTGACATACGACCGCAGGTTTATTTAAAAAATTCTGAGCCTTACCCATAAACAAAATTGTCCTACGAGGTCTGGTTCAAAATCTCGTTTTCGAGCCTATCACAGAGCTTCCTCTATGAGGAAGCAAAAAAAACAACTTTTCATTTCGAGTCGTTAATTTTAAAAATATTCAGTGAATTTTTATTTTTTTGGTCTTAAATTAAAGCCTGACTGCTCTGCTCTCATGATGACAACAAAAAATTTGTGATAATTCCGGCAATTATACGTAAAAAAATGAAAAAAAAATTTTTTTTCAAATTTACAAAAAAATTTTTTTTTCCCGTGTATTGCTAAAAACCTTTTTCTGGTCTCATTAATACTACAAACGACAATGAATGCAATTGAAATTTATGCAATCCACCGTAACATTTTCGAGATTTTGCTTCGGACATACGTACATATGGGCTAAGCCATAGTTAGCGTGATGGTCAAAAAAATTTTTTTTCTCAAATTATGTACTTTTAAAGAGTACATTGAAAAGTGAAAGTCCTGAAAGTTTCAGCTCTCTAGGTCCAACCCTATCGGATTTTCAGGGTCTTAAAGTTGAATTTTCTTTTTCTGACCATATTCTGCTTGCAATGCTGATTTTCTGGGATTAATATGAAAAAATTGTTGAATCATGGTTTTTAATGTAAAATTTGATGTAGAATTCAAAGTTGTACTTAAAAATCATATTAAGAAGTGGAGTCCCCATAAAAATGATATTTTCATGTATTAATCATGTTACTGTGTAAAAATAAACATGTTCGTATCCAGCGATATGGCCAATATTGTAATTTTAGTCCAAAATTTTAATTGCCTTAGTTGTGCTATACGAATTTTATGCGATTCAGAATATTATAGATCAAATTACGAATTTACCAAAGAACTATTAGTATTATTTGTTGATAATTTTAAAAAACAATTTCCTGGATTCACTACTTGGAACGTCCATAGTTTAATCCATTTGGCATATTTAATACATGGACCATTGGATGAATTCAGTGCATTTTTATTTGAAAATAATATGAAATTTTTAAAAAAACTATTGCGAAAAAATGAGAAACCACTGCAGCAAATTGATAGAAGATTGAACGAGCACAATTATCCTTCAAATAAAAGAAAAAAAGGAAAAAATGAATTATATCCTCAACTTCTACAAAAAATCAATAGAAGTATGCCATTGGAATGTTCTCAACAGTAAAAAAAATTAAAATTCGCTAATTATGAACTCAGCAATCAAATTCCAGACAACTGTTGCTTTTTAAAAAATTGTTCTTGTTTTGTTATTGATTTCATTGGGAAGAAAAGAGGTGAAACAGTCATCGTAGGTTCGACACATCGTAGGACAGTTCGAAAAGCTAGATTTCATTGAAAATTATCCAATGGATTCTACTTTACTGGGCATCGGCAAAGCAATGGAGTTATCAGAGCTTAAAGTTGTTTCAGCCGAGGAAATAGAAAAAAAAGCTTGCTTATTTAAAATAGGTCAAGATATTTGTATTGTTCCTTTGTTACATCATTAATTTAATTTTTTGTACTTGAAAATTTAGTAAACTTGTTGTTAAAATTATTGGAATTGTTTGATATAATTGTAAGTATTTTTTACGACGCAATTGAAATAAAAAATTTGGTCGTAATAGCACGGACTTTTCACCCACGCACTTGCATGAAAAATTTTTTTGTGTTAACTTACACACGCTCTTACATATGTATAGTTAATTTACAGTATACGCAACTGTAGATTTTTTGTGGTAAGTTTTCGAATATACTGAACAATCATATCCTGGTTATTGAAAAAATTCCGTTAATGCTTTTTTTTATTAACGCAAATAGAGTCTTATGGACAGGTTAGCATAAGTATCCGAACTTAGTTATAATTCGGAAACGTTATGAAAAGACATTTTTTGAGGGAAGAATTGATATTAAAACTTACAAGCTTTGAATCTCAAATGGTTTAATTATTCGATTGAGTGGACGGTTAATTACAGGACGTATCTGTTTTACGTTCAGAGCTAATAATCTAGACTACCTCTCGCTATATGCTAAGGTACAAATGTTGAAATCGTTACGCTGAATACCAATTTTTTTGTTAAAATGTAGAAAAATGTTTTGTTCCCTTTTATAATTTTTTTGTTGAGAAAAAACCAAAATTTTTGTATAATATATCATTTTGAAAATGAGCAACTCTGATGATCGAGATAATTTTTTACTAATTGTTCGGTAAATTTGGCCATAGTTTTAGTTTAGTATTTGTTAAAAAAAGCCCCTTTTACAATTTATTGAAAACTCTGGTGATCCATATTTTAAGCTAAATTTGCAACGGTAAGTTGTTTAAATTTATGTATGCTATCATGAAATCCCAACTCCGTCACAGTTACGTTATTCATGAAATAGTTGAAAAAACTTTTGAAATTCATTTGAGCGTCACCACATTATTCTCACACCCTAATCCTATATGTTTGAATGAACTCGCTTGATATTTTTATATTCTTGAAATGATTAAGTTATAATTCTGTAACAAATTTTAAGCGATATTTTTCACGTGTCAATTGAAAAACGTTAATTCAAAAGACTTGTTTTTAATTTTAATTTTAGGTTTTTAAAAATGAATTATTACGTAGCTATTTTCGATGATTACGTATCGATGGTTCCAGAAAAATGGGTAGATATACATAAGAAAATCGTAAGATGGCCTTTAACGAGGATTAAAGATAGGAATAAACTGTTTTCTCTAGACGTTGAAGATGATTGGTATACGTACCAGTGCAAAAAGCTTCACGGACCATACGGTTTGTAACACAATAACAAATTGAAAAAATATTTAAAGTGTAAAAGTATTAAAAATTATGTAAATAAAGTTTCTGCATAACTGTATATTTTTATAAACCCAACAGATTATGATTTTGCCTTGTTAATGGAAAAAAAGTGCACGACAGTAGATTCAGAAGTTTCCTCTGATAGAATAAAATCCACATACATCAATAATAGAAAACGTCTCCAATTTCAACGACGGATTAGTTCAAATGATGAAGACAATGATAATCGTCGTAAATATAATTATAATAATCTGCAAAATACTACAAATTCTAACAATGAACACAATTTTGATGATACCGAACATTCTAAAGATGAACGTGATGAGGACGATGAGAGCAGTACTGAAGGTAAATGTAAATTTTTTTTTTTAAATGTTGTATAATGGTAGATTCAAGTATAACTGTTATAGTATACTATGAACCGCTATAAAAAGTCGCATTTTGAACTACTTTTAAAATTTGTTAAGGGTACATTTACTTTCATTATGTTGAAGACAAATCATGTCTTCGAATCGTGTTTCATACTCTTCAATTTGCAGAAAAATTACATCTCATTCCGTTGGATGATAGTAATTTACGATAGATGGGCCCCAAATCATGCCATGCTATAAAGTGTTATTTCTCATTTATGATAATTTCATCGTACATTACTACTACTTTTACGATGGGTAATTGCATGGATACAATAATCTTATTTTCGTAGGTTCAAACGAAGAAACTGTAGACAGTGTCTCGGATAATGACCCCTTAAAAATTGCGATAAAAGGCATAAGAAACAATTGCGAACGTACCCATAGAAGATTGGCTGATCATTTTGACAGGTTGATTGCCACTGATCCTTTCTATAAAGATGCAATAAATCCTTACAGACGGAAGAGTTTAAATTTTCTCTTTATAAACCAGTAACTTTAACGTCTACCGCTGTTATTCACCATGAAAAAATAATGAAAAATAAAATACTTTGTCTTCTGTATTTGAAACCTGCTCTTTCTGATTAATTTAATTAGTTATTATTTTTGCTAAATTGAATTGTTCTACGATTTAACACACGAAAAAAAAAATTTCTTATAAACTCTCCCAGATAGAATTACTCAAAATACTCACATTTCATAAATGGATTTCAGAAACATTAGAGTCTTCTAAATCTAAGAAATCTAATCCTACCAAGTCAAAAACCAAACCTAAGGTTTCATTGAAAAAATCGAAAGCAACTAAAGATTCTGAACCTTTACTACCTTCAAGTAAAATTTTGACTTTGATATTATTTATAATATAATATCAAGTTTTACTGATCATATTGATTTTTTTAGAAAGTCAGACGAAACCTGTTATTAAAAATATCGAGAGCATGAAGACTAAATTTAATTTCGCGAAGGATAGATGTAATACTACGCCGTCATCCTATGCCAATAGTGATATTAACAAAAACGAAAATGTAAAGAATACAAGTAAATTTAACTCGTTGGTGGGAATATCTCATCCTTCGACTTCATCTTGTGCTAATGGTAATATTTTACAGTTATTAAAATATCTTGTTTCTTAAGTTTTACTGCATTAAGATGCAAATCAGTATTTTCGAGTAAATAAACATTTGAACGAATATTATGCAGGAGGCAATAAAAATAATGCATATATCAACCATGCGTACGTTGATGATGAAAATAAGATGATCGATGATGATGATGAATATAACAACGACCACGAAGATGACACATTCCATGATAGCATAGAAAATCACTTCGAACCAGCTGTTGATCCCAATGATTATTGTAGCCCGGAACTTGGACAAAAAAAGTTAACTAGTATGTTTCTTTTCCATTTATTAAGCTATTTTAACGAATTCAAGTACAGATCTCGGCTGAAATTTAATTAACCCGTTTCGGGCCAAACGGACGAAATTTTAGTTAATTTTTCACTCGCTGTAAACTCTGTGAAAAAATTATGTAAGAAATGTCAGAATAGTCATAACCGACGTAAAATTTTATGAACTTTTCGAATCTGGCGTCAGAATTGTAAAAAAAGTTGATGTGTAGAAGTTATGAACAATTAAACAATAAAAAACACAATTTTTTTGAAAAAAAAATTGATTTGATCCGAATTTTCGAGTCGAAACAGATTTGCTCTATAGGTCTAACACGTTTTTTTTGCGTCCATGGGGTGTAGACTTAAAAGTCCAATAGTTACGATATCGAAATTTAACATGGCGGACACGAAAATGGCGCTTCGTAGAAAAAAACCGTATATGAATGTAGTCAATTTTTTTATATGTCAACCAAGCGCCTAGGAACAAAACGTTATCGAGAAAATGTTGAATTTCGATATCGTAACTATTGGACTTTTAAGTCTACACCCCATGGACGCAAAAAAAACGTGTTAGACCTATAGAGCAAGTCTGTTTCGACTCGAAAATTCGGATCAAATCAAATTTTTTTTCAAAAAAATCGTGTTTTTTATTGTTTAATTGTTCATAACTTTTACACATCAACTTTTTTGACCATTCTGACGCCGGATTCGAAAAGTTCATAAAATTTTACGTCGGTTATGACTATTCTGACATTTCTGACATAATTTTTTCACAGAGTTTACAGCGAATGGAAAAATAACTGAAATTTCGTCCGTTTGGCCCGAAACGGGTTAAAGGTTTCATTGTAAAAAATATAATTCTATATTCTAGCTAGAATTTCAAACGATTTTAGGTTGTATTTATGACTGAATCTTTAATACCAACTGAAGTAAATTTTTACGTGTAAATTAGGCTTCGATCTCGACATAGATTTTTGAATAAAGTTAAAAAGGCTTTGAAAAATGGGCCTCAAGGCCCACGGATCAAACTAAGAATACTGGGCTGCATTGCTAAAGGTACCAGGAATCCACAAAAAATGTGGGTAAGAATTGGGCACCCGCACCTGGTGTAGTCTTCTTGTGAGTAAGATAAATTAAATTTAATAAATTAAATCTAACTATTTATTGAACAACACACTTAACTTTGAATACTGTTTCTGTAACATCGCGAACTTCGATGCGTATTTGCAGTACGACAGTTTGAACTGTAGTTTGACAAAAAATTTTTTTAACATCAATTCTACGACAGTAAGAAAATGTAATTATATTGAAAATTTTACGACTGCTTTCAGACGGGTTTAGCACCAGATGTAAATGTTAGATTATCCCATCAATATATTAAAATTTATATTTGACAATCCTGACTAGAGTAGAAAAGATTTAACCTCAAGAAGTCCGATCGAAATTTGCGGAAAATAAAATCGTACATTCAAGGTAGGAAATGAGAAAATAACGTGACAAAATTTTATACGACGTCATCACCGCCGAAGCAAGTGTTTAATAACATATTTATTTATGTTTGTTTCTTTTCATTTTTTTTCATCGATATCTTTAGTCATATTCTGATTCCTTACATCTGATAGACATATATTTATATATATAATTTATATTGTATATGGCAGCGTTAGGTATCATGACATTGTATAATATATATTTATTTATATATTTATATATTCATTATTAGATGATAGTGACTGACAGAACGATTCGATAATTTTTTTTATCATTTATTGTTATTGATTATTATTTATTCGTCATTTATAATCTCAATCTCTCAATTTTCTTTTTTATCTTATTTTCATATATCGATGTGAGGGCGCGCGTTTTACATATAATAAATACGCACGCACACGCGCGCACGCACACACACAAACGCTCTTACTATTTTATTTTTTATTATTAAACAACGAGCGATCATTTCGAGCGAGTATTGCGCGTCAATTTTCGCTCCAATTCAAGTTTTTTTATCGTTATTGATATTTCTCATACAATACGTTTCGCACAGTGAAAGAAAACAAATATATAACGTTACAATTGTCTACGACCACTAATATTTATACGTATTATATATACATGTATCGTATTTATAATATTTACTGGCATACTCTCGATTTTTTCTCTTTTGTTCAATATATACGCGGCTCAGCAGCATCACAATTGTATACTTTTCATCATCAACATCACTCGACAAATCTTATTGTAAACTTTTTTTCATGTATATTTTTATGTATAGTATTTATATATATTTTTTCAGCAAGTTATTATCGTTATTATTTTTATGTTTTAGATAAATTCTCATCAAGCGTTTGTCATTGTATGTATACAGATATATTTTTTTTCACATTCATTTATCAGATTGCTCATTTGTTTCATAACTGTTTTTTTCTCTGTCACATCGATACGACCCTCGCGATTTGGTAATACATCGTCTCGGTCGTACATTTTTTTCGAATGCCGACTGAACGCACTCGGCGTTTAATCTGCGTAAATTTAATATTTATAATATGCATGTCATAATGTCTACGTTTATAGTACTTGCTTCTATTTTACACTCTGACTACACTCACGTCGTAAAATATTCAGTTATTTAATGGTTTTTTTTTTGGTTTTACTTTATCAATTACACATCCTAACAACGCTGATATAACCGATGGCAATATAGTACCATTTTTATAGTAATGCATTTCATAAATCATTTTTTATTTTGGTGCAACTTAGAAAAATATGTCCCCCGTCGAGGTCATTGAACGCGGCTGGTACGCGCGCGGACGCACGTCGCACGTGTTGCGTTAACAAATTTTTCTTTTTCAACGTTCTTATTTTATTACGGCGATGTTTTCCTCCATTAATTCCTTGTCGTTACTATTTTTATTGATTGCGAATATATTTGACTTTTCGAAATTGACCCACGTTTGCTACTCCACATCTCGTTCAAAATTATTACACAATTAAAAATTAAGCCTACGTACGTTCGAAATTTATAGTGGAACACAATTGCATCCGAGTTATTTACATTAATGCATGATTAATACGATTAACAAATTACAATATGTAATACGATTAGCACCTATTTATTTATCAACGAATTTATGAAAAACTGTTTAATCAAAATGAATTCTAAGAAATTCAATCGCATACATCAATTCCACATTAGAAATTCATATACCCGAAGTAATGAAAATACACTTTTGTTAACAACTATTAAAATTTACTTAGATCGATACGAGCTTGACTAGCATATAAATATGATATACTATTTTCGCGTAAAGATTCAACGATTTTGTCCGATTAAATATACTTATACACGAATGTCTCCGTCGATGTCACTTTACTATATCAACGGCGAATCGAAAATCGCTATATATAATATTCGGACGCGTCAATAAAATCTATAGAAATAATCAACATACCCAACGATAAACTTTATCATACCGATTAATATTTTTTTTCTTCTATGTATAGATTCTGCTATCGCCTTTGCTATACCTTCCAGGATAATTTAAGAAAGTTATCTTCTTTTCTATTATATTCATTTAATTGATATTACATAATTTAATAATTCAATATCGTAGTATCATTTTACCAGAACATTTTTTAATCATCTTTATCTCAAGAGCTACAATTGACGTTCTTCATTGCCGGCTATATTAACATGCATCGCTAGATGTATAATACCTTAATCGAAATTTCATTCGCAGATTGAGACAAACCAGTTTGGCTCACTTTAACAAACCACTTATTTTTCTTTTATATGAATATAATCTCAGTTTTTACGATTAATGTAACGAGGTATTAAGCGTCGTCGCGATGGAATGCTTTCAAAGTTTACTTTTTTGTATTATTATTCATTCTTTATTTTTTCAACTTTTCAGCGAGGTGGGATATTCGTCGTATCGATGTGACTTTTACACTTGAACTTTATGCAGAGAATAATAATGAATCGATGAACGAACGAGGCTACACAAATATGAAATAGTTGGTGTGACAAAACAGAGAGAAAATAAAATATTGCCGCATTTTTTTATTAAACCTATTAACTATACAGCTTACATATAATAGATATATTGCACGTCGTCGCATTTCTGTGCTATGCTCTATACGAAAAAAAAGTGATCCTGTGCGGCAGCGGGACCTTCCTTTTTTTATACACATTAAATATATTAATTATACACAATCTAACGTAAAGTCGTGTGATACGCATTTCACATATGTATTTTACTGCTTGAGTAAACGTACTTCATTCATTCTATTATTACGTCTATGCATTATAAGATATCAATATTTATAATGAGATGTTTATTTTTTTTTTACCGATGAGTATATCGTCAAGGGATTACAATATAATGATTATTTATGCATATGACTTTATGCAGCTAATGGTAAATGTGAAGTGTTCGAATAATAGACGCGATATAATTTTGAGAAAATGCGATTTACAAATCAATGAAATCTGTACGAATTTCTCATTATTTAGTGCATGTGTTTCATTTATTTTTTATCCAGTTGGGTTTATTCATATTTTTTTTTAATATTCATAAGTGATACGAAAAAGAATTTAATGAAACGTTGCTTCAATCGATTCGATTGGTTTTCATTCTGCTAGGCGTTGTAAAAATTCAGTTATCCAACTTGTTCGCTACAGACAAGTCAGTGCGATCGTTCGAAAGATTGTTTTTCCACACATTTTGTGCATAACACGGTATTCATTTTATTTTTCACTCAGTCTCGTGGCAAATTTATATTTCGGGCAACGATACGCGATACACGATGATTCTCTATGAGATGCTTGCGATACGATAATGGAAGTAAAAATAAATGCGACTCGATAGTTATTTGATATTTTTTTTTTGTTTTTATACAATCGTTTTCTGTCAATCACGGTGTTCCCTTTCGATATTAACTGGTTGTAAAAGCGTATAGTAGTTTTATTCTCTCGTCTATGCGTTTATATTTTTTCGTCCTATTGTAATTCGTGTTTTTGTTTCTGAATTTCACGTAGATTTTAAGTTTTTTTTACATACTTCATTCCTTTTTTGAGAAAAATCATTTCTCATTTGGTTAGTCAACCTTACAAAATACTCACGATTAATATGTGATGCGTGGCTTAATGATAATAATCATGAGTACGATAGATGAGTCACATTGCAGTTGCGTATATGTATTATGTAAATTGTCATTTGATGCAATGGCATTTGTGGGAGGCTTTTTAGACGATATGTGAGATGAGCAGAATTTTCTTGTTTACTTGCCAATTCTGTAAAGCATATATATACATTCGTAATTTTCTTTTTCAATGGATATGTGCTTTCAAAATTCAATGAGGTTTTCAATGCAAAGGCTCGGCGTTTGATGATAATGAATGAATTTTAATGGATAATTCGCACGGTATATTTTTGTGCTTTACGTAGGCCTGAAGAAAACAGTAAAAAATGTATTTTTCTCTCATTGAATGGCGACTTGAATGATGATATGTCAGTTTACTTAATGATTCGCTATTTTACCAACATTCTCTATCGGATTATTCTTTTGAAAAGAAGTTCAAAAAGTTTTTTTATTAAATTTTTAGATTTTGAAAACTTGCGGGTTTTTAAAAGGAAGTTATGCAGTAATTTTTTTCAGATTCTTACATTTCATTCAAAAACATTCAAAAAACAAGAGAATTTAATAATTATATATATTATCATAAACGTCAATTATATATCACATTTCATTCTCATTCTTTTAGTTTCGTACTTTCTGTATTACGTAATTCACGAGCTTAAGGATGATCTTTAGTATCGATCGATCTACAGATATGTTACGTTTTTATTTGGTTGTAAGTTAAAAAAGATTTGTATTGTTTCGAGTGCAATTATTATAACCCGAATTCGAATGTAATTCATGTTGAAAAATCCACAGATCGAAGCATATTATTTACAATTCTTTAAAGCTCTGGTTAGATCCTCACAATGCACAATTATGTTATTGCAAATGATTTTTTCACGAATACCCTCCACATTATATATTTAGAGTATACATTAATACCGTTGAATGACTAGTTGAGTAGCTATTATTATTATTACTATTATTATTATTATTCTTTTTCCATCGTGTCAGATTTAATGTTTCTAATTATCATTATTATAGAGAATTAAAAAAATATCTTCAGTTAAATAGAGCCTTTATATTTTTTTTCAAAAAGTATTACTTCAAAGATTGTTGTGAGGTATTATGAAAAAGCCGCGAAGTTTTTTCTTTTTTTTTCAAATTAGACCGTCGTTTTTTTACAAGTGTTCGTATATTGACGAAAGCTTGTTTTTATCTTTATAGATGATTAAAAGTGTGAAAGTATTTACCAAAAGAATTCTCAAAACATTGATCGATTTTTCGAGTTAATGTTATTTTAAATGTGGACCCAAGAATGAAAACAGACCAAAAATTTTTATAAATGTCGATACTGCTTGTATGGCAAAACTTGAATCCTCAGTATTATGAAAGTATTTGAAACTTTATTGTAATATATAATATGAAGATTAATACAAAGATGAAAAGGTTAGATTGACAATGATTGCAAATTTAACGATTTTATTATTCAATAATTATTTCGATTCATAACAATATTATGGAACGATGACTTCATTAATAGATAGTCCTAAGTTATTTTCAAAATTCAATCGATTCACAAATGTATTTATCCGTGTTTAAATAGTGTCTTAAAGTGTATTATGATGTGTTATCAATAAGCAAGTTTAAAATGTTTAATGCATCGTTTTAGAAATTTTTGAATAATGTTAGCTTTTTCATTTATGCTAAACATCATTTTAATTTGTGTATCAATAATCTGTGGTCCATAGCGTTTACTCGATTTGTTTCAATGAAATCGTTATATTATCTCAGTCCCAGTTTTATTACGGAGGAAGACAAAAATCGAACTTATGATTATCAAAGAACATATCGTATTAATAGTATGATGATCTTCTTAAGTTTTGTTATTACAAAACATTACGGCTTTAAACAATAAGCAAGAAGATTAAACTGTGCGTTTTCAGGAATGCAACTGAGACTGAGTTTTTCTTTGAGAATTCATTATAGTACAAAAATTGAATTTAATAACGAAAAAAATTATGTCAATAGCGGAACGATTTCTTTTATTATTGTTACATAGTCGTAAATATTCGTATTTGCTTTTTCATTTTTTTTTGCTATATTGTCCAATGTGTATTGTTGAGATTGAAGTATTACATGTCTTTCCGTATTAAAGACACTCGAAGCGTCTTTAGTTTATCACGGTAAATTGTTACGATTATTAGTCAAGAACTCGCGCGACAAAATGACTGTTAGTTCATATATATATTCAATATTAAAATGACATATTATGGCAGTGTGCTGATTCAAAAATTTCGGTAGAAAAAGGGGTAGAATACGGGTAAATTATTTCTTTCATAAAGAATACTGATTTTTAGGGAGTTATTGAAAATTAAATTAAATTGAATTTTTTTCAGTCCTGTGTATGTGTGATGAGATATAACCATGAAAATTCACAATCTAATGTTAGCAATGGGCACTGATAAAACGATGTGGAAAATGAGATTACATTTTTATGATACACTTATTTTCAGCACCTTATACAATCAGTACACGTGGCGTTTTTATTCAATTCTAAACTAACGGAGCTTTCTATTAGACGATTGAATTTTTTTACTCTGTCGTAAATGTCTATAATGCGCGCGTTAAGTTAACTGAGATCTAGATCATAAAATTTCGAAACTGTTTTTTGCGCATCTTATTAAATTTTTAATTTTAATTTTTTTTTTAAGAAAAGGATTTTTCGTAAAGTGTACAAATGGTTCTCTTGCACTTTATTATTTACAATATCAATAGAGAAAATAAGACAGTTTAATGAAATTTTATAATCAGTCTCATTTTTATTTTTATTTTTCTATGTAATAACATGATTTTTTTTGAATGTTTGTGAGTGAATGATAAATGAAAAAAAAGTTCTATTTAATACGATACACTAACTTTTTTGATGAACATTCGCAAGCGATTAACGAAGCACATTAATATAAGAAACTTGTATCTGAATTGAAGTCTATTGTGATTTTCATCCCTATTCACGAGTTATATTAAAAATTTTTGGTCAATGCGCACTTTTATAATGCGTCAATATTTTAGCCTATTTTGTAAAAAGATTTGAAACAGTAATTATCGCTAAGATTGAAATAATTTATCAAAGTGATTTTTTTAGAACTACGTCAAAATGGACTCAAGTGATGTTTTCGTCAAACTAATAAAACCCTGTTTTGTGTTTTTAAAAACTTATGGTGAATCACCCAAAATACAAAATTATGAAAAATATTACTTGGAAAAATGTTCGAACTTATTTCATTGTTTCTGTTTATGTAATCGTTCTGACAACTTTTTATTTATAAACGTTTACATTTTATCAAGTACACGGACATTCTAAATTGTTACTTGTTCTTTTAAATCTACATTTTGATATCATAATATTCACGATGGAATCGATCAAAATTATCGAGGCGTATACTTCACGGAACAATCGAGGAGAGTCAAAAGATTCAGTGTATGCGGAACAACAATACTGACATACTACGGCAATTTTACGAATAAAATCGATGTATAATTTTAAAGCTTTCTTCATATTGCTCTATCTTATTTTCTGTAAGATTTAATTTTAATCTGTTTCAAACTAGTTGCGTACCATTATTAGTAATTTTTTTTTTCATAAGCACGCAAATTTCATCTAAACATTCGCTAACAATGATAATACTATTAATACGCTTACACGAATAAAGTTGCATTGATCTTCGTTCGTGTATCATTTATCGCTTACATATTTGATCAAGATTAGGCAATTTTTTTTTCTCAACGATATCCATAAAAAAGAAAAAAAGAAATACGAAATATTGCGTTGTTTTCTTTGTTTTGTATCTGTCTCTTTTTTTTTTCGTTAATCCAATCACTGCGCACTGCAATTACATATCGTGTCGTGCGTTCAGTCATTAGTTCAATAACACTAAGTGTTCATAAGAATCCTTATCAAAAGCACATGTATACAGTGTGACTATACTATTTATATGTGTTTATGCATACTTCGGTACGTGTTATGTTTTACATAAACGTCGCTTGATAGTGCATTTTCAATGTTATTCTAATATTCGAGGCTGTTATTGTTAAATTTCAACAATTACCTCGTTTTTCTACCCCCCTTCCCCTTTGTTACACGTCATAATTAACAAGATAGAATCGAATAAAAACTTTGGCGATACAAAGTCTTGGAGAAATCCGATTCAAATCGGTTGTTTCGCGTGAACGCGCGCGGTATACTCGCACACGCTCTCGTCAGCCGTTATTATATCAGACTTTTTTTCATCGTAATACTTTTATGGCTATTATGTTCGCTCATCTAATTGAAATCTGCAATAATTATGCACGAAAAACTTTGCTATCTGTTCGCAGACGTCGTTCATGCTACTCGAAATCTCGTTTCGAATATTTCAAAAAAAAAAAAAAAAAAAAACAATAAAATTGAAGTAATCGGCAAGTAGTCTCGTGTATTTTTCTTCTCCTTCCCGAATGGAAGTATGGGTACCACATACAAAATGGGAACATTTACAGCTACTAGCATTATTGGCATCGTGTCGCTCTCAGTTATCGCCAGAGACACGCGCGCGTGCTCATAAAAACATCGACGCCAAAATCGACCATTTGTTCATTCGTTCGTGCAGGCGATCGCTTGGCGATTCATTCAGTTATGGTAGGCGTATCCAGTGTGATTCATTCGCAGGATCTCGCGTCTCTTCGAGCCTGCGATGTCTTCGTCTCATGGCTTGCCGCCGCCCATTTTGCTGAAGCAGTCGTCGTCGCTGGCCTCGATGTCGCCCTCGACTCCGCGCTCGGCCTCCTCGGCGGCGCCGGTAGCGCCGTCCTCGGTGTCGACGCTGCTCGTCGGCGTCACGAGTTCGCCCGTGCCGTTGCCGAAGAAATTGATGCTCGGCAGTACGCCGGCTACACCGACACCCACGCCGCCACCACCGCCGTGACCGTTGCCACTTCCGTTCCCGTTGCTCATCGAGTTGAGAAAGGGATTGGTCGAGTGCACGCGCGGCTTCACGGCCGGCAACGGGCTGCTGTTGCTGCTGCTGCCGTTGTTGCCGCTCTGAATCCGGCTGAACTTGCTGAGGGCGTCCTGGTAGCTGATGGGACTCGTGCCGGCCGGCGATCGCACGTACTTGCTCGAGTCCTGGTAAGATCCCGCGGAATTGCCGATGGTCGGCGACCGATTGAACTTGGCCGAATCCGGCTGCATACTGTTGAGGTTGAATTTGACCGATTCCGGCTGATTGCCGCTCGCGTTGTAACGCACCGAGTCGTGCGACTGCTGTGGCCCGCTCGGATTGAATCTAATGGTGTCCGGCGGCTGAGCGCCGATGGAATTGTACCTGCTGGATTCCTGCTGGGCGCCGGTAGGATTGTACCTGACGGAATCCTGTTGGCCAGCACCGCCGAGGCCGTATCTAGCCGAATCCTGCTGGGAACCGAAGTTGAATCTGGCGGTGTCCGGCTGACTGTTGGTCGAGTTGAACCTCGGCGAGTCCTGCTGGCTGCCGCTGTTGTGGCTGGCGAATCTCGCCGAGTCTTGCTGGCTGCTGCTGGTCAGATTGAATCTCATGGTTTCCGGTTGTGCGTTGGTGGAGTTGTATCGAGCCGTCGGTGGCTCCTGGGACAAGCTGTTGCTCTGAGCTGCGGCGCCGCTCACGGGCGAACGCGTGAACTTCATGGGGTCCTGCTGCTGCTGAGAGTTGGGGCTAACGATCGCGTTGTTGGACGCGCGATTGAATCTCATCGAGTCCTGCTGCTGCTGCTGCGTGCTCGGGCTCCCAGCGGTAGTGGGCACGACGCGATTGAACGTCGGCGGCACCTGCTGAGCTTGACCCGGTGGTCCGGCCAGGGGCGATCGGTTGAATCTCACGGACTCTTGCGGCTGAGTACCGCTCGGACTGCTGCCCATGGTCGTCGGCACACGGTTGAATCTGACCGAGTCCTGTGGAGAGCTATTTCCGCCGCCAGTCGTGCCCTGAGCGACGCGGTTGAACCTGACCGAGTCCTGTGTCTGCTGCTGCTGCTGCGAGCTCGGACTGCTGGCGTTGCTGCCGGCCGTCGTCGGCACGCTCGGCACGGCGCGATTGAATCTGCTGCCGACCGACGAGGAGTCCTGGTAGGGATTGTTGCCGGCCGGATTGGCGCTGCTGCCCGCGGCACCGGTGGCCGCCGGTCGGCTGCCGCTGTACTTGGATTCCGTAGTATAGCTGTTGGCCAACGAGCCGCGCTGCCCCTTAGCCGATTCCGGATGATAGCTGCTGCTGCTCGGCGGCTCCTCGCTGCTAGGTGAACCTGGGGACGAGACTATCACCTGCGATAGAGAGACACAAGAAGAGAGCGACGTTTTTCAATCATTAATTCGACAAACAATTGACGTGCTCGAGGCTATGCATAATAATTATTTTGTTATTCTGACAATTCAATAATCGGGAATAATTTATTTTATCATCATTACTGTTATTTTATTCTGGAAGCCCATTTGTTCTTTAAACAAAACGTTCTTATCCCAAGTGTCATTCCGTCTAGTGCTGCGAGGCATAAAATCCTAAAAGAGGAGAGGCGATACTCAAATTAATTTTTCTGTTTTTTTTTTTTTTTTCAATCGATTATCAGACGACAGTTAAAATAACACAATTAGCATCAAGTATTAGAGCACTCATAAAAGTCGGATGATCGTGAAGAGAAACCATGGTGTTATTATTGTTAATGGATGATTATAAAAACTGTTACGTTAAGCCGCGACATGAACTTCCGTATAAAGACGTGGAAAAAATTTCAGTACCACCTCGCCACGAATATATATCGACTGCGCTGAGTGTTATATATTTTATTTGCATTGCGGGGTTGGACTAATTTGCATAAAGCGAAGCTGGATTGAGTTATTATACAGATATTCAGGCATTGCACAATCCTTTCATATTTTAACGAAGAGAATAAATGGGACTTTCCATAATGCATCATTCACTTTGATTGTAATTAGATAAATGAGAAGATTATTAATCAATTCATTAAATTTCGATTTAAATGAATCATTGTATTATGCGCAAGCAAACGTTCAGCCCATCAGCGGCATGCATTATTAAAATTTGATAATGTCGAAATAATCGTAAGCTAAAAAATGTAACATGTTAATCATGATCATCATTTACTTGAAGCGTGAGAGAGAGAGGCAATGATAAAAGTGGTTCATTTATTATGCAAGTGATAGAGTGTAACGAGTGCCACATCACACATAGGAGCGAGCAAAGATGGATTTTCGTATAATTAATAGGGTATAAGAGGGTTGATTCGATCGGTGTGTTTTTTGAAAACGAACATAAAAAAAAAGAGGGACGATCCAATAAAGAAAACAATTATAAACGAGGATATGTAGGTCAAAGGCGAGAGCAGCGGGCAAGGATGGCTGAGAAGAGTAACGATAATGTACCTGTGCAAGAAGTGGCTTCTCTGTGCTGTTAGCGATTCGGTAGAGCCGGCAATAGACGTTTGCCCTAAATACGCGATTAAACAGAGTGTAGAGACATTAAATGAACAGATCGAGATAGAAAATCGAGTTTTCGTGCTCCAAAGTCAATTATCATGGGATTTTCGAGAGTATGACGTCGGTATCTCTGAGTTACTGTATTATTACATTTACACAGTGGGGTTTTGTATGAGTGTTAAATGAAACAAAAAAACTTGTAAATTCAAAAGCTAACGAAGAAAAATGCCAAGTGAAAGAGTAGAAAATTTAAAGTAGTATTGTAGCATGCAGAAAAAGTTCGTTCTGCAGCGAGAATCGAGAAAAGTAACTCGATGCATTTCATAGACATCTCTATGAAAAAATTTTGAACTAATAAAAACGTTTCGACGTACGTGCAAGTCGCATGTGGTATCTTTTTTTCTCATTGCACTTTCCACAGTCATGAACGAGAATACAAAACAATGAAAAAAAAGGAACGCGTTCGAGCGAATAAAAGTTTATGAAAAATGTCAAGCGATAAACCGCAGAAAACAAGAGAGATGATGAAAACGAGAGAGGCAGAAGTCGAACGAACCTGCTGGCGCGGTTTGACGGGCGGAGGCGGCGGCGGCCGCGACATAGTTGTTGTAGTTGTTTGCTGCTGCTCCGAGGACGAAGCCACCGCCTGCTGGTGCTGCTGGTGCTGCTGCGTTGACTGGGATTGCTGGGAGGTAGCGTTGCTGATGATGCTGCTGCTGGTGCTGTTGTGGCTTGCGTTGCTGCTGTTGCTGCTGCTGCCGTTGCTGGAGCTGGTGGTGATGCTGCTGGTGATAGGCTGGTGCTGTTGATGAGGCGAGGGTTGCTGCTGCCAGGGCAGCCCGGTTCGAGGCAAGGTTCCCCGCAGCGGCGACTGCGACTGCTGCTGCGCTTGTTGGGATTGATGGATTGGCTGCTGCGGCGCTGGCTGCTGCGGCGATCGCTGCGGTTGCTGACTCGGCGGCTGCTGCGGCGACTGCTGGATTGATGACTGTTGATCGTGCTGCTGCTGCTGTTGCTGCTGCATAAGATGCTGATGCAGCAGCTGAGATGCGCTCGAAACAGGCGGATGATTGCTGCTGCTGCTGTTGTTGCTGTTGCTGTTGGCCGTAGACGTAGTACGTGGAAGCGTTGAAACGACGGAAGTAATCTTGCGAACTGTCTGTGAAATAAGCTACTGATTATCCGGAACTTAGCTGGTTGGCTGGGTTATGGGGATTATTCGATGACTCTCTCTGGAAATTAAGGCAGTTGTTTTCGCGCTTGGGTCCGCTTCCTCTGGCTCCTTGGGATTCGCGACTGGCGCGATCCAATGGAGACAAAAATAGCGGCTGCGCCCTTTTTTTTTACAACTTTTCCAAGAGAGCCAACAACGGCTACTTTTTACTTTTCTTTTTTATTCATTATTTACTCAATTTATTACGGTGAAAATCGTGTCATTTTATTGGTCATATGAATAATGATGACTGTGATAATCATGCGAATGCAATAGAGTTTTCGAGTGATTCGTGAGATAAGTGATACATAACAAAATATGATCGTGACGAACGTGAAAATCAAAATTCGATCGATCCATAAGTTCCATATATAATCAACGTGATACGTGTTTTGTGCGCCAGCAACGAATAATCAATCAATCGTATATAAGAAAAACAACAGTAAGAGTGAAAGGAAAAAGAAAAAAGCATTGCCATTGGTGGATGATGGGTGTAAAGAGCACAGAGCGGGCAATAAGAAACGGATCACATTACCTGACTTGACCGGCCAGATCTCCAGCAGGTACTTGAGCACGGCGATGGGCTGGGTGAAGTCGAGGGGGGCGCCCGTGTCGTCCGAGTGCAGCATGAGCACCGGGCCGAAGCAGACCGCGAGGCTGCCCGGTGACATTTTGTTGCATTGCGAGATCACCATGGCCAGATGATCGAGCAGGTAGATCAGAGTGCACTGCAATTATAATTTTTTTTTTATTATTAAAACTGTTTTTTTTTTTTTTTTATTACAACAGAAGGGGCTTTCTCGAACTCACTTTGTTTACGGTCGGCAGGCAGTCGAGTATGCTGAACATGAGCTTGGCATTGCCCTGCGGGTCGTCCGGCAAGCAGACTCCGAGCGCGTCCACCATCATCTGATAGAGGCACTTGGTGAACAATGGCTCTGGTAGTTCTCGCAGGTAGTCCTTCAGAACGCCTGCGCGCAAAAAATTGAAAAATACCATCGTTAAACGTCGTCGTCGGTTCTTAAAACGTTACGTGACACGAAAAAAAAAAAAAATAAATAAATATTAATCAGCTGCGTGTGTGACCTGTGATGACGTTGATGTCGGGCACGTTGTCGGACGACAAGTCAACCGATCTGGCGTTTCTCTCGAAGGCCTCGCGCAGTATGCGCTTCTTGGTCGCTGATCCGCACAGTCTGTACAAACCTGCTCGCGGCGGGTAAAAGAAACAGTGAACATTTTTAGGTGAAATCTGACTGGCCTCGAATCGGTTAATTAATCAATGATTTTTCACATTCACACATGACGATCGTAATGGAATGGCACATAATTGTATAAAAATAGAGCTATGAACTGATTTATTTTCTTTTCTTTTCTTTTTTTATGATTTCTATAAGTGATCGTATGTATACATGAAGTGCATATGGGTGAAGGTGAAGGTGCAAGTCGATTTATGAGCTTGTGCGGGCTCGCAACATTTTCTCGATGATTAAGAAAATTTTGTGAGACCTACAGTGGTTACCTATGATGTCTAAACCACGCCTCTCGACCTCCTCGACGCAGCGCCAGATGATGATGGGCACGTTGGGCACCCCGCTGCCGCCCATCGCCAGGGCGGTCGACACGCCGCCGGGCACCCCACCCGTTTTCGCCTCTCGCGACACCTGCGTATGTATTATTAACAGTACATGAAATCGAATCGCAAAAAAAAAAAGATAAAATACACATGAAAAAAAGGCCACTCACGACCGTCTCGAGATCGATGCCGAAGAGGGGCGCGATCCTGCCGGCCAGCGAGACGACGGGCAGACAGCGCCTGCGGAACGTCTGATTGGCGTCGGTGTACCTGAGCCGCAGATAGATGGTGCCGCGGGGCTCGACCTTCACGGCCAGCTGGTGGAGCGGCGACTCCTTGAACAGCGTGGGCAGATAGACCGAGCCCTTGTAGCAGAGCTTGTGGCGGTACTGCGGGTCCCAGGAGTAGACCAGCAGATCCAGCTGACGATTGCCGACGAGGTCCAGCTCGAAGTTCTCGTCCCAGTCGAACATGAGGTCGCCGGTGCGCACCACAGTGCGCGCCTTGTGCACCCGGTCGCACTCCAGCACGCAGTAGAGATCGCGCAGCGCGCAATTCACCAGGCTGCCGTTCGAGCCGTTGTTGGCGTTAGCGTTATTGCCGTTGAGGCCGGACTGTGTCGAGCCGCCGGGCGTCGTCACCGCCGCCGAGTTGGTGGGATTGTTGACGCGCAGACCGCGGCCCGCGAGCAGGTGCACCCAGAGCAGGCCGCTCACCCCGTTGACGAAGTCGCTGCTGCTGCTCTGGTTCTCGGCCAGGGTGAGCAGCGAGCTCGTCGTCGAGCTCGGCGTGCCCACCTGGGCCGGCTTCTCTATCTTGTATTTCAGGAACTCTGCGCGTCGCGGTAAAGTCAAGTTTTAAACACATGGGTCAATGAGTTGTTATTATTATTTTTTTAATGTGTCAGGTTTTTTCAAAGTTTCCATTTATTGTTTACTACGTGTATAGTAGTCACGATTAGACACTTGAGTGTTGCGCATCGACACTCTTAAAATCCTATCTGAGCTAGTGCGTAAGAAAGCTTCAATTCATTACTGACCAATTGTGGGTGTTCTTAATACCCGTATATTATTTCATCCCCAATATCATTTTTATTATTTGAACAAGAAAAACTAATAATATTCATTTTTTCGATTTACTCATCAATATGGAATAAACATGGTATATATACCGTACGAAAATGTTTTTGCCACTTGCGAGTTTGCAACACTCCATCTGTTGATGGAATCGAAAAGCTTGCAGTGGAATATCACGCCTTTGATTACGATAAATTGCGCTACAATACAACACGTATTCTGGAATATTAATCCTTATAATTTCTTTAAAAAAATCCAACTCCTTTTTACAATAAAATAAGGAACGTTGTAAGAGGTAAATTTCGCAAAAAAAACCGCAAATAATTTTTTGAAAAATTTGTCTTGCAATGAACATAACATCATTATGTATAGTCGCGAGTTCTATTTCCACGAGGTAGAAGCGAGCGAAATACTCTACATTCCTTCGATCAGGATCCCGCTCGTTTTTCACGAACTAGCCCGTCAAAGATTCAAGATAACAATGGCACTGGGAACAGCGATCGAACTCAACGATACAACGTCTCGTACTCACCAGCTGGATTAATGTCTAACAGTCTTTGCTCGATGGGCCGGGTCGGCGTGGACGTCGAGCCACCGGCGCCCAGAACACCACCGGCACCGACGGCCGCCCCCCGGCCGCCGGCGGCGAGCGCCGACATGACCGCCGAGTGATGATTGTTGTTGTGCGTCATGGCGGTCGCGGATGAGGACGAGGACGAGGGCTCGAGGTCGGCCATGCCCCGCATGCGCCTGATGCTGTTGGCCCGCTGGCTCGCTGCGCTGCCCAGGGTGTTCTTGCTGGCCAGGGCGGCGCGCACGTTCGAGGCCACGAGGGCCGACGAGGTGACGCGCGGATTCGCGTAGCGCGAGTGATGCACCCCGCTCAGGCCGCCGACGCCGCCCAGCTGATGATGGCCGGACGACGATGCCGCCGCGGCGGCGACCGCCGAGCTGATGGCCGTGGAGGCGCGCAGATTCGCCAGGTTGACCTGCTGCGCCGAGGCCGAGCGATGCGACAGTCGGTCGAGCGTGCTCGTGGCGTAGGGCCGATAGCCGTAGGTCGCGTAGTCGGCCTGTATTTTTTTTTTTTTTAAGATAACGTACGAAGGAAGATTAGCCAACTTGTTGCGTTGTTTACACGTAATATGATAAAAATACACGCGTTAATTACGATCCTAATGTAAAAAAAGATAAAAGCAGGATTTTCGCGCACGACTATACCGTACAAGGCGGCAATAGAGCACTCTCGAGCTCCGCAGCTTAATTAAGCCTCGAGCACGTTCTCGCGGAGATGTATGCGATACGATACGTATATAATGTATACACGTGCAGCTCTCGATGTATGTATACAGTCAGAGACACGCGTGCACGCATCGCATAAATTTCATTATAGCTCTCTGGAGCGAGTCCAATGCCGCGCATTATAATTCGGGGAATGCAATAATCGAAAGACGGTTGGGCTTTGTCGTGCTCTGCATCGGTACGACGCGTATATACAAGGGTTGTACAACGGGAGACGCAGGTGCGTTATGCAGTAATTACAACGAGGATCGTTCATCGTCATTTTTCGATTCGATGCTTTCACAGAGTTAGATGAATTTTAGGTAAATCTAATCACCAGAAGTGAAACTTCAGAGTTCTTTTCCCCGGTTAAATTTCCTTTCTGAAGTTTTATTTAAGTTTGCTCGATTTTTGATTTGCTTGAACTTAGTCATTTTTCATGTTTTTTTAATGATCTTTCTTTTTTCATATATTTCATATATTTTATGCCATCAATGAATTTAATTACAGAGAAATTTATTTGACTTATACAACTATTTTTACTTCACCACTTGCAGATTTACTATACTCGCCATCTAATGGCAGAGACTTAAAGTGATATTATCGAATACAGTGGTTGAAAATCAGTCTAAATTTTTTGAAACAATTGCCATTTTAAAATGTGCTTAATATTTGCAATACAATTGTATAAGAACAATTACTATTTGTTACAAGCCAAATAATGTTTATTTATTTCAAAACATGTTTGATCATTGGTCATTTCTATCAGGATTCCATTAGCTTTAAGATTAGCAATGAGTGAACGATTCTTGAATTTATTTCTACAGTTAATCTTTTTCAAAACTTTTATCAACTTAATTTTGAAGAGTAAAAAAGTTATTCTATGAAATAATAATTACTCAAAAATTAAATTTTTTTTCTTTTTTGTTAAGTTATTAGTGGATTTAAAAAATCAAATTAAGCTTGGAAATGTCAAAAAAAAGAAGTACCTACGTCACGCGGGGTTCCCAGTACTAACCGCGCTCAACTTTGTTTATATTCGGTGATCGGACGAGAACCGTAGCTTTCAAAGTGATATGAACGTAGACAGAATGTCATAGAAACATATCAAAATTTAACCGAATTTTTTTTTCTTCTCTCTATTGCACCTTTATTTATTTATTTTATCCCACGTTTTCGGAGCAAGTCATAATTACGAGTGGGTTTCATGTGACAATGTTGAGGGTACTTAAAACACTTTAAAAATTTATATTTCAATAGCGTGGAGTGTGGAGGGCATCGAACACAGCGATCATTAAAAAAAAATGAAAATCTCAAATGCAACTCGAGCTATATCTATTTTAAGATTTATTTGTAATATACAGCGTGCCTTTTCTACTTTACTAAACAATTGAAAAAAGTAATTCGGATACATCATCCCCACACCTTTATATCATACTAGAATCTTACTACGCGCACAAAGCATACTCGTAGTCGACTCGTAGTTCTCCGTATAATCGCTCGGATATTTAAGCAAATTATATGTACCAAAATGAATGAAATTTTCATAGCTATTTCGATGTAGTTTTAACAAATCCCTTTATGTATCGCAGTATATTACTGAGCATAGCCAACCGACATTGGAGGGGGAAAGTATCGCCAAGGAGCGACACAGTCGCGAGGTCGAGTCGCTAATAACGTACTAGTACAGTGTGTACAATCGCCAGTGAGTTTGTGCAATAAGCAAATGTTTACAAATTAGTGATACGAAGATTCGAGTTACAGTGTTGGCTACTCAAGGCATCTAACCTCAAATATGTTCTCCGTGTAAATTGCGAAAATTCACTGTGATTTCATTACAATCAATCGAATGATGGAAAGCCAAGAGGGCACAGTCAGGTAAAACATGTTTTATGCACGACGATACATTAATTGAAACTTTACTAATCAACAAACTTTATCATTCTTAAGAGTAAAAGAAGAGACTAATGACGTATGGCCAGATGCCGTCGACGACGATATTTTCGATTCGGTGGACTCTTACGATGTCAAAAATGTTCAAACATTCTCGTTTCATGAACCATCAGTGAGTTGAATGATTCGAATTATGTCCTGTTTCTTCGCTATCAAAAACTACATTACACAATTTTAATTTTAGACAAATAACATGAACGAGTCTATGCCGTTACAGAGGAAGTTAGATGAAGAAATATTTATAGATGATGAGTGCGAAGATGTTAAATATGAATTGAAATCATTGACAACTTTCTGCAAAACAGAGTATCAAAATTATCCACCATTTGTGAAAACAGAAAACAAAAATCAGCTCAATGAAATAAATAAAAATATATTCATTGATTTCGAGTGCAAAAATGTTAAACCGGAAATGAAGTTTAAATCCACAAGCATCTGTAAAACAGAGAATCAAAGTTGTCTACCTATTGTGAAAATAGAAAATGAAATTCAAAATAATTATTCGCATGATGAAGATCGGGTACTTTTGATACAAACAACATGCGATCATAATGATAGTCAATTTCCATCTTATGAAAAAAAAAAGAACCGAAAGACTTTTAAAAGAGAATTAAATCTGAAAAAACACATCTACTCGGTACATAAGGGCATTAAACCATATGCATGTAAAATTTGTCATAAATTATTTGCCTACAAAAGCTACATTAAACGGCATGTCAACACAGTACATAATAAGAGAAAGCCCTTTAATTGTGATGTCTGTCAAAAATCATTTGGATACAAAAATCATCTTAGAATTCACATAAATGCAGTACATAATCAAAACAAACCCTTCGAGTGTGACAAATGTCACAAATCATTTGGGGGAAAAAGTACTCTTAAAAGACACATAAATGCAGTACATTATCGGAGCAAACCCTTCGAGTGTGAGATTTGTCACAAATCATTTGGAGAAAGGGGTACCCTCAAAAATCACTTAAATACAATACACAATCGAAGCGAAACCTTTGAATGTAATATTTGTCACAAATCATTTGGATGCAAAAATAACCTCAATAAACATGTAAATGCAGTACATGATCGTAGTAAATCCTTTGAATGTGACATATGTCACAAATCATTTGTAGAGAAAAATAAGCTCAATAAACACATAAATGTAGTACATAATCAGAACAAACCCTTTGAATGTCATATTTGTCTTAAATCATTTGGACAAAAAAGTACCCTTAAAACTCACATAAACACAGTACATAATCAGAGCAAACCGTTTGAGTGTGACATTTGTCACAGATCATTTGGAGAAAAGGGTAAACTCAATAGGCACATAAGTATAGTACATGATAAGAAAAAACCCTTTGAATGTGATATTTGTCATAAATCATTTGGACAGAAAGGTAACCTCAATAAACATGTAAATGCAGTACATGATCGTAGTAAACCCATTGAATGTGATATTTGTCACAAATCATATGTAGAGAAAAATAAGCTCAATAAACATGTAAATGCAGTACATGATCGTAGCAAATCCTTTGAATGTGATATTTGTCACAAATCATTTGCTTATCACAGCTCCATCGAAAATCACGTCAACGTTGTACATTATCGGAGTAAACCCTTTAAATGTGATATTTGTCACAACTCATTTGGGTACCAGATTCAACTCAAAAGGCACGTTTTGAAAGTACATAATCTAAGCAAACTCTAGGAGCATATAATTTGTCTAAAGAAATTTGGACGAAATAGGATTTCTGAAATTACATTAGTAAGCTCCGCAATTTTAGAAATTCTTTTTTATAAATATCCTTCAATTTAAAAAAATAATAAATTATTTCAAACTTTTATTTATTTTGTTGTGATTGTGAAAACCTACCCGCATTTCTTACATTATCTAAAATGTGAATAAAATTTCCCAAGCATCCATTCTAGTAGAGAATCCTTGGTTTGGAGCTAGAATTACTTCTTAACTTAACACGCTAACCCCATAACTGATTTCGATAAACCCAGATAAACTAAGGGGTATCAGTTTGCAATCATCGACCCCGATCAACTACGTACCGTAAGGCCATCACTTTTTCAAAGCGAGGATATATTAATCAATAAAGCCTGTCCTTAAAAACACCAGTAAAAAAAAACTCTACGATGCGTGCCCTTAATATTTTTTTTTTATTCATACCTGATTGACGGCCGCGTGTATGTTTTCGGCGCTGTAGGTGTAACGAGGCGGCCGGCTCGAGGTGGATCGTATCTGATCGTAGAGGGCCGACGTACTCGGCGTCCGGCTCAGCCAGGCCTTGTACTCGTCCGACGTGAAGACCGACGTCGACGACGGTATTCGTCCTGCAATATTTTTTTCCGCAATGAGCACATGCGAGTATCGGGCGACAGAACGTAAAACTGAATGAATATCATTCGAAAAACGTCGGTCCTTTTTTTTTTTTTAATTAGCCTCGTCGTTCAGTCATTATACAGAGGTTTGTACTGTGGGTATAGGTTGCATGAGAACATACGATTTATTAATGTGTGCTGTTTATATACGTTTATCAGAAAATCAAACAAACATCATATGCTAATTAAGCGCTTGTCTAGCTCTATATAATAAGTCTATAGATCAAAGTATCGTGAAAACAGTAACACACAATCAACGATGCAGCTAAGTTCGATATGATGAAAAAATCGGTCATGATACAAAATGTCATATAAGTACAATGAGAAAAATAAAAGTCAAAAGATATATTTGTAACATCGATGAATTAATGATTGATTAATTTTTTTTATACTTTTGTCGAGTACTTCGTGGGTACAGTGGGTAGGGTGTATTTTACGAATGATGGATGAGCTGTATATTTTTTTTGTTTACGTTACCTCGATCCTGTCGTATGGAGGGCATTTCCGGTGCCGAGAGCGCCCCGTCGTCCTCGTCAATGAGACTCTGCGCCAGGGTGCTAATTCCCGATCTTAGCCCGCCCTGCTGGTGTCCGCCCGGCAACGTCCTGACGCTACGCGGCAGCGAATTCGATCGCAGGCCTAAAACATGCGTGCGCAGCGTTTTCGCTGTTCGCGGCAATTCGTTTAATGAGAATGATCGAACGGAGTCGCGCGACGGCTTTGTTTTTTTTTTAACACACATTTTTATATGATATGACAGTTCTGAAATGGGCTGGAAATTTCGGAATGGAAGTTGAATTTTGACTTGAACGCGCTTGAAAATTTTATGGTTTTTGCTTTACATTCAACGCGATTTTTCAATGCGAGATATATTGACGAGCGAGCATGTGGACGTTGCCGTGGAAAAGTATTGGTTTATTGTGTGTGAAAACTTTTCATGCCAGTGTATCCAATACATCGCTCTATTTTGTTTTATCTATGGTTTGTATAGTAGAATGATACAGTAGTATGAGTATGTCTAAGTTTAATTGCTAAAAACATACTAAATTGCAGTTATATATAAACATTTAGATGATATGTAATTTTTGTATTGTGATGTCATCTATCATATGATATATATTTTTTTCATTAAATCATTTAACAAGTTGACAGAAGACAATGAAAAAAAAAAAAAAAAAAAATACGATACTGAGACGTGAATGGCGATGTGAAATTGCCGTGTTGGTAATAAAAACAAAAATGAGAAGACTTTTTATGATCAAAGCTCCAACGCATAAACACACATATCCGTGCTTGCAGAAAAATGTTATTGCATATTATAGTTTACGGACTGCACGTAAGATATAGTGTGAGTTGTATAAAACTAAGATAAAAACACTCAGATAAAACGTTCATACGCTAAGATATGTGATTTATAAAAAATGTTCTTATCGGATGATATTTCATCCTTCAACTAATTTGTTATTTATAAAATACTGTTTAATCATTGAATTCAATCTAAAAAAAAGAAAAAGGGACAATACGTACGACGTATTGCCTGTGCATCAACAACTAGATCAATCAATATGCTAATTCAAAAATTGTATAAATATTACATCGTATTCCGTGTGAACTTGTGTGATGTTTAAATATAAAAAAAAAAAAAAGAAGAAGTCGAAACACCGAAAAGTAACAAAAACTGCCTCGCCTCGGGAGGAGGGCAGGGGCGTCGTCGCTCACCTGTGCTGCCGAGCTGCGAGCGCGACAGGGTGGCCAGATGCGACACGGCGCTGCTCGGCTGGGGATTGTTCATGTTGTGCCTGTAGTAATAGTAGGCCGAGCGCGGCGAGCTCGAGCACGTGGCCTCGGTGTCCGAGGCGTAATCCAGCGACGGCCTCTGGTGGTGGCGCCTGGTCAGGGTGCCGTACTGGGCGGCCTGGGAGCCGCGACCCCCGGTCCCGCTCACGGACGACAGCAGATCGTTGCCGGCCATGCCGTAGCGCGAGCCGTAGCGCAGCGCCGCCGACGCGCCGCCGCCGGTCTTGAGGCTGGACCTGAGCAGGGTGTGCCTCGCCGGCGTGGTGATGCTCGTGTAGTCGACCCGCGGCAGATGCTGATCGGAGCCGCTGCGCGGCATCAGTCGGCCCGCGGCCGAGTGCGGCTGGCCGTAGGCGGCGTAGCCACCCGATGACGAGCCCATGCGGCCGATCGTGTGCATGCCCTGGCCGGCCGACATGCGGCGCGACGACGAGCCGTTGGCGATCGACGTCGTCGACGGATAGAACGAGTGTACCTGCGTGCGTGCGAAGCGATTCGCAAACAAATTTTTTTTTTTTTTTTTGGTTAAATTCGTTATTCGTGATACGAAGAAGGAGCGATCGTTATGGGATCGTTTATTTTTTTTGTTTGTTATTTTTACTCGTCGACCGTGTTCTGGTAGAAATGCCCAAAATTTTCAAACGAGGAAGGGAATACATTAAAAATTTCCTCCGTGCTTTGACTTATATCATTATTTTCAATTTGCTACTTGCGGATTTACAGGATACAGGTACTCGCCATCTAGCGTCGGAGACTCAAAGTAATATTATCGTATCCAAAGTAGATCTACATTTTTTAAAACAATTTTCCGGTCATTAAGCCATTACCAATATTGAGCATTTCTACCGGAATGTTGAATGAGAAATGTTCGAAGCTTTTTGCGTATAAATACGATATATTCGATTCATTCGTTATGAACAAAAAGCTCGCGTGCAATTATTTTTTTCACTGCGTAATGTTAGTAATAACGACAAGTTATAAGCAATTTTTCGTTGTTGTTACGATGGACTCTCAAACTTTCCCCTATTTCGAGCTGTCGTGTCAAAAATGATTGTAAAGTAACGAGCTCGATAGGGGAAGTTCGTGATCCGAAAATAAGCAAATTTTTCTATGGATGTAAATGTATGTCATTTTTTCGTAAATAATATTTCTTTGATAATTTTTGCTGCTAGTAAAACGGAAACAAAACGGCAAATAATAAATTGCGATAAAGCTGAGTACAATACAAAACACACACGCATGAACAAAGAAAAAAACAATACATCTAAAATTACTACGATAGACAAGCAGGTGAAAGAACACAGACAACGATGACACATGATGGCACACACACTGGTTATTTCCTAATGTATATCGATATATAAGGGTTAGTCACATATCAGCAAGCTTCATTACGAGGTCAATAGATTGTTAGTATGATTTTCAGGAAAACAAATCAATCGGCCAAATTATAAATTGATTTATTATCGACGTGACGCATAAGTTGCCTACATCAATAATGAATCTTTCAACTTTTAATACTATTTTAAAAAGGCGTTTCACACATTGAATACGGTAACAAGTGTAACATCGTTTGCTCGAGGCAAAAAACAGGCTCGAGGTTTTTCGATCAAATTTTTAAGTGCCACAACAATGTCAAACTTGTTTCGTATGTTACATGTTTCAAGTATTATGCAAAAATATCAATGGATATTAATACAGTAGCTATATGGTTTTATCAAGAAAATTTGTAAGTGCTATTACCTTTGTGAAATCCTGGATTGATTTCAATGGAGCGCGTCGTGTACGTTTACATAGAATCGACAAGTTCAATTAGTTAATTTTTTTTCTCTCTCTTTTTTTTTTGCATTTTCATCGTTCAGTTACGATACGTTCTGATATCGATCTACCGTACGAATGATAAAAAAAAAGTAGTACAAAAAAAAAACATTATTTTTCCTCGAGAATCACCATTACTTTATCGACGTTCGCGAAACCAACGAAAAAAAGTATCAAAAAAAAAAAAAAATTTTTTTTTGCATTTTTCGGACGTTCATCATCGTCGCCATAGTGACCTTAGAGAGTGGAGGGCTGACACAGTGAATGGAGTATAATAATAATATAGATATAATATAAGTACGACTTGGTGCAATATAATGAGGTGTGAGAGGTGCTTTCGATCCACATCGTCTAAGACATCTATGCGTATTATAAAGTTACAATAGAGTATTCTCGATCGACGCTCGAGCACAAAGGTGAGAGGCGTATAATGCGTTTTCCAATCAAAACGACGACAATGTTATCTTTATGCTCTTTTTTTCGTCGAAGGGAATACTCTTTTGTCGGTGCTGTATAAAATTAATACGTTTAATAACGATAATAATATATATGTAGAAATGTAAATCGTGTGTACGTTTGACTCCGCTGAAAATGCAACGATCATTAATAATTGTGCATCGGATATGGGACTATGTTTGGCTAAATATCGTGAAAACAATCAATTCGTCAAATCATATATAGACTACCCACTATGACACATTTCAGCAGAGTCAAAGCAACTATATATCTCATGACGATATAAGTAAGAAAAAATTCATAGGTTCGGTACGAGCACGAACGCACGTGTATAACAAGAAAGGAAAAAAATATATATCTCCCGCTGCACTTCGAGCTGTGCACGTATTATATATAAAAAAAAAATATATATATATCATATGCGAGTCGTCGTCTCACCTTCTCGGCCAGGCTCTCGAGCGTCTTGGGATAGCCGCGATCGTACGGCTGGAAGTGCTGGGCCTGGGGCCCGGGCTTGGGCTGCTGCGTGATCACCGGCGGCGGCGGCGGCTGATACGACCAGCCGAGCTGGCTCTCGGGCCGCGAATTGTAATAGAGGTCGCCGTTGCTGGCCATCGCCTGATTGATCTCGTGGCTCGAGCCGAGGCCCGCCAGGCCGAGCTTGGAGCGCGACGGCAGCATCTCGCGCCCGTCGCCGCGGCGCCTGTCCCGCTCCAGGGTGCTCATGTGATGTTGTTGCTGCTGCGACTGCGACTGATGATGATGATGGTCCGTCTCGTCCTCGTTGTTCAGCTCCTTCTTGATGACGACGACGGGCGGGCCCTTCTGCTCGTTGCAGCGATTGTGGCCGCCGACGAGCTGGTGCGGGCCGTGCCTGATGGCAAGCAGCAGCCGCCGCGGTATCGACATGATGATGACCACGTCGTCGAGGCTCATGTGCGTCACGTCCACGAGATTCACCGCGAGGATCTCGTCGCCCACCTGTATATATATATGCTATATGTAATAAGGCACGACTTTTGTGCGGGAAAATAAGCTACTCGAGGAACTATTTTTGTGAGGTCGAGACGTGCACTCGTGTATACGGAATTTATTTTTTTGTTGCACAAACCTTCAAGCAGCCGCTATTGTAAACGGCCGTTTCTACTGCTATCCTGGAGATGAAAACGCCGTCGTTTCTGTCGAGGCCGTTGCCCTCGCGTATGTACAGGCCGAGGGTCTGCCCGGGCCTTTTGATAATCTCCACAAAGTGGATGGGATGCTTTGAATCCTGCACACGCGCACACACACACGAGTAAATCAGTCCGAGGAAGAGATCAACGTTAATAGGGCAAAATCTTCTCTCTCTCTCTTTTCTCGTGCACGACTGAATTCATCCTCGATTCTCTCGTTTAGAAAAGTATAGAGAGAGAGAGAGAAAAAATAATTCATAAATACGAAAGTTAATAATAATTTACCTGTATCGCGATGAACTTTTTCGCCGCCTCGGAGGCGTGCCTGCCGAGCTGTCGGGGCTCGATGATCCTGACCACCATCTCGCCGTGCTTCTCCACGGCCTCGAGGGCCGCGGCCGTCGACGCGTCGTGATCATTCTCGATGGTCTCCAACTGACGGAAGATCTCGCTCGTGATGCCGCTCACCTATATGCGACAGGTTGGATACGACGAAAAAAAAAGACGTAAAAAAAAAACATACCCCAGATAAGACATCGTGTATGTAGTTACGTATAAAAAATATATATATGTGTAGGCGTACTACAGCGTAAAACGTGATATCTTTACAAGCGCTCGCGGAGGGACATTTCAAAGCCTGTCGAGTCCGTTCGGATCCCGGAGATGTGGCTTACATACACACACATAAACTCGACGTATATGTATCTCGGTGACACGAGAGCCCGGAATATGGTTTACAATGCCCTTTGACTTGGTTTTCGCAGCGAGAAGGGAGATATTCGTTCCGTCTGATATGTACGTATGTACAGGGCGCCGCCGCGCGTAATTTCGAAATCCAGGCTATGTTTGCGCGTTTAATTGCCATGGGAATCGGCTAGTAGTAGTACCTATATACGCGAGAGTCAGAGAGAACTCTCGAATCGTCGTCGTCGTCGTCGTCGTCGGTGTTGCGGCCCCGAGCACACGTTCTCGGTAAAATTTATCCCGATATAAAATATGCATTTTACACGCACACGCGATGTATATATAGAGCTCGATAAAACATTTAACGCGTTTTTCGCTCTTGCCGTGCGGTAGTGGCACCGTTTGAATTTTGTCTCGAGCGCCCGCGCGACAAAACGTCAATTATCGATCGATACGATAATTATCGTGTACGCGACACGATGCACGCCATATGTATATAGCTATATAATTCATATACTACGTACCTTTCTGAAGTCACCCTGGATGACCATAGGCGGCGGATCCTTGGGACGCAACTGGTTGACGTTGGCCTGCCTGCCCGGACTCGCCGTTATGTCCGTCACGTCGCCGCGTCCTTCCTGCGCTCAGGCGAACGAAGAAACGAGACAGAAAAAAAACGTGTCAGAATGTATGGAATCGATTTAATACTTTATAAACAACGATTATGACCATGACGTATTTGATCTTTTTTGGTGAATTTTCATAAAATTGCGCTAGAACTATTTAACGTATAAAACGACATGCGCTTCGTTCGCTACACGTACATATGACATAATAATAATATCGAATGAATGAACGAAGGTGAGTCATGATTTTTCGTGCGTCGCCGCCACCGCCGCAAAAGACAAACACCCCGTGGATATTACGGCACGTTGTGCACGTATAAATGTATCTATATATATTGAAATGCACACATAAATAATGTATTCATGGAAACACTGGCGTCTGATTCGGCATGCATTAAAACGTAGATGTACATTCGCGCGCGCGCGTCAAAGAGAGAAAGAGCGGAAGATGTCATCTGCAGATATATCATATAAAATATTCCACTTTATACGATTCAAATGTATATCGTATCGCAAACTTTCTCTCTCCGGTGTATTACGTGTGAGATAGCGCAGAAAACGTTGCATCCTCTCTCTCGCTTTGACCTATTACACGTATTTAATATATACGTAGTTTATATATTCGTCGCGCGACACGCCGTGTATATGAATCGATTCGTGCGTATAGGTTTATAATAAACATACGCGTGGATGAGAGAAGATTATCGTATAGACGCGTTCGCAAATCGAGATATATAATGCCGATGTAACGACAATTAGAACGAGAGCGACAGTCGATGAAAAATGATACAATGATGGTGATGATGATGATGATGATGATGATGCTGTCTGCGTTTAATTGACATAAACGCATGGTCGAGGTATACATGAACTGTATATATGATAGATACATCGAAGTATGTAATTTACTTAACAATCAAAACGTGATCGCATTCCACATTCCGTGCGACAGATAAAATAAAAAATATATATAAATTCCAGGGGGTCTGAAGGGGGGGTGAGTTGGCGAGCAGTAATCGGGGGCGGCAGCTACGATGTGTATCATCGTGTAATAATAAAACGAGGATCGGTGTATAAATATATACGTACGCGCGTGTAACCGGTAGCATGTCAGCGTATTTTCTGCCGTAATACTTCTTTCTTTCTTTTTTTTCAAACCACACGAAAAAAAAGAAAAGAAAAAAGTTACACGACTCGCTGTACGCTGTACATCGGATGTTAACAAAACGACGGAGGAAAAAAAAGTAGTACCGCGATGTAGTACTCTGTCAAAAAAAAAAAAAAAACTACGATGCAGATACGTTGATAATAAATCCATGCATACGGAGCAAACATTTTAGCTTGCCGAGTGAAAATGATGATCTTTAGCTCGCTCGCTCGCGCATTCATACACGCATGCAGCATATTCCGCGCTGAATGGAAATAAATTCAAAGAGGGAGAAAGAGAGAGAGAGAGAGACAGACCGAAAGTTCCGATGCAGTTTACATTATTATACAGACACACACGCGCACACACACAAGTTCGAGGTAATAACCCGGTGTGGTGGATGGCTGCTGCCGTTGCCGCTGGAGCCAAAGGTTGCTGATCTCTCCCACAATGAACGTATATATATATGTGTACAGCATATATACTCACTAACATACATTCGACGCAGGCGCGGCAGCAACTTAACACGATTTTCATCATCGCATCCCCGTTCCTTCGCTGCTCGCTCTCTCTGTCTCTCTTTCATATTTTTTTTTTTTTTTTAATTTTTTTATTTTACGGCGATGCCTTCGACGTTGTTTTACTCCACCGTGTTTTTTCTTTAATTTCGGATGATTGACGATTAACGAACACATCGATAGTATAACAATATGTAGATGCAAAAAAAACGTTTACGGGTTTGTAAGAGGATCGTTCTCGTAACTTATTAACACACATATAGAAGTATATAATAATGCCACATAGAATTCATAATAAAAAAGTCGAAATACTACGTATGGGGGTAGTGTGTGCTTTTGTGCATTGGCTTAAAAATGGGGGGGGGTCGGTTTGAGAGAAAAAGGGGGTGTAAGGGGGGGGGGGCGCTAAATATATGATATATGTCACAGAAAAGACACAGAGAGAAAGAGAGATAACGTTACAAAGAGAAGGAGATATTAACATGTACTGAATACAAAGTGAATCGACTATATATATATATATAATATAATGATGCATTAAAAAGGAAAAAGAGAGACACATGAGATAAATAAAAGAAGATGATGAACAACAAGACGTGAGCTTGTTAACATTAGTTGTTTTTTTTTTGTTCACGTGAAAAAGACAGTCAGAGATAGATAGATTGAGAGAGAGAGAAGAGAGAGAAACCTCGGTGAGAACGGCCCGGACGAATTTAAGGCATCGCGTCCTGAGGCCCGCGCAGGGCAGCAGAAGGACGATCCAGGCTCTCGAGGCACTGCGACTGCATCGGGCGGCGTTGCACAGGCTCTCGGTGGCGCCGCCGCCTCTTGCTCCAGTGCCCGCTGCTGTAGCTGCACCACCACTTCCACCGTGTATCAGCCTGTTCAGATAGGCCATGGGCTCGAGGTCGTTTGCCCCGCTACAGCAACGCGTACTACCGCCGTTACTCATCGTTTCTTTTTTTTTCTCTCTCGACGGCTAGTATTATATTTTATCAACTGCTGGCCGTATATAATGCGCACATACACAAACACGCGCGCGGGGGGAGAGAGAGTTTAGCTGCTCCTCCACGACGACACACAATCGCACACCCACTTTGTAATGATAAACCCGCGATGTGTATCATATATGGCATTCGCGTGTGTATGGGTGTGTGTGGATGTGAGTGTGTGTGTTGTGCCGATCAACCCCCGAGAGAGAAAGAGAGATAAGTACGCGGATGGATGGAGATATATTCAGATACAGAGATAGAGATCGACGATTTTTTTAGAAATAATTATATTTATGGTTGCTTTTCGTTTGGCTCGGCCGTTTCGTCGATAAATATATCATTTTTATATTATTAAACGCTCGACGCGTGTTTGCATATCAATTATGTACCTGTTTGCGATAGAAGAAGCAACCTGTACCGCCACGATCGCACATTTTTAACACACTTTTTTTCTTTTCGTTTAACGATTATATTTTATTTAACTTTTTTTTACTTTTATATTTTTTTTTTGCACTATTTGAACTTTTTGGTATTATTTCCAAGAGAAAAAAAAGACACAATATCTTCGTTGCCTGTCGTTATAACTATGTGGGGTTTTTTTTCTTGTTGCTGCTGCCGATGTTGCACTTCACATTACAATTCTCATTGTTGTTGTTGTTGTTGTTGCTCGTTGCTGTCAATCCATCCCTTGGCGCGCACGAAACCTCGGATCAACCCATAGTTGCCGCACACACACACACACACACACGCACACACGGAGTCGGGGGTGCAGCTCAACTCGGGCTTCGCGAGCGGAACAACACGGCTCGCAGCTCGTTCGCGCACTTCCGCATCGCGTACATGCTTCTGCTTCTGCTTCGTCTTCTCTCTTTTCCTTTTCTCTCGCTGCTGTCTCTTGCTCAACGTGGTTTTATATACGGGGGGCCTCGCGGCTGGTGTGCGGACTACTGCACACACACTCGTTGCACTCCAAAATACACGATACTTATTATATACACACATGTACAAAAAAAAAAAAGCTTTACATCATAACAACGCGGAACGAGCGAGAGAGAAAGACTACACTATGTCACTACACATGACGACGACGACGACGACGACGACGTGGAGCAGTTGGCTGCTCGCACGCAGAGGAGCGACGTGTGTGTACACGAGCCGAGGAGAGGAAAGCACCCTCTCTCGCACACGCACACACACACACCCCTGCAGCTGCTTCGTATTATTACGTGTACCGCACACGAGCCCCAACGCACATACACACGCTTACGCGAGAGAGAGAGAGAGCAAGGCCCGCTCGCTCGTTCGCGGGTTAGAGAGAGAGAGAGAGAACAACCCCCGGACACACGGCCACTGACTTCTTCTTCTTCCTCTACTACTACTACTCTCTCTCTCCGTACTCTATACTCTCGCTTCGACTCGCTGTGCGCGTTGTGTGTATGCCGCTCGGCGCGCGCTCGCTCGCGTTCCAGCCAGCGGGTTGCGATGTGTGTATGCAGGCCAGAGTTAGGCACGGAGAGAGTACGCTGCACTGCCTCTCTCTCTGCGCATGTGTGTGTATGTGTATGTCGGTATACGCGCGGAACTGCATGCATATATTATATCCACAGGCACACACATACGTACAAAGGGGTGGCTGGCAGAGAGAGAGAGAGAGAGAGAGAGAGAGAGAGAGAGAGCGAGGGGATCGGAAAAGCGCAAACGCGTACGAGCGCCACCTCGCGCTAGCTCCGGTGTTGTCTGGCGATTATCGATCCGCGGCGAAACTGACGTCAGCCTTGCCGTGTATGGGTGAGCTGTGTATATATGTGTATACGTGCACGGAGCCGCGGGAGTCGCAGGTGTGTGTATGCAAGAGTACACACACACACACAGAGGGAGGGAGGAAGAGAGAGACTGTACTTAAAGCCGCCCGGTTAACACGCAAGCGCAAACCGAATGAGTCGAGCGAGGGAGAGAGACTCCAGGTTGCCCCCGCGACGACCAACTGTATACGTGTATATGTTGCTGCTGCTGCTACTACTGCGTTTTATGCCTCGTGTGTCTAGTATGTAGTAAGAGTAATCGTAGTAGTAGTAGTAGTAGTAGTAGTATTCAGCAGCAGCGGCAGTAGTATACACAGCAGCGATCCTCCTCGTCATCGCGAAGCTTGCGCGCGAGCTTACGAGAGAAGTGCAGCAGCGGCAGGAGCTTTCGCTCGCTCGCTCGCAGCAACAGCAGCAGCGGAGCTTGCGTTGCCTCGTTATAAAACGGGAGGGTTTACACGTATATACGTATACACGGCGAGCGAGCGAAACGAGAGGAAGGGAAATTGTATCAGTAGTTCAGTTCCATCATGCCGCTCAACGAGAGTGAAGA